GTGGTATTACTAATCTCAGGACAGGAAGAGCTGATGCAGGAGGATGAAACCTAATCTGGGCCACATAGCAAGATCTTGCCTCGTAAGCAAGCAAATAAACCAAAAATAAATAAATGAATAAATAAAAATAATAATTAAATAAATACCAATAGCCGGGCGGTGATGACACAGGCCTTTAATCTCAGCACTCGGGAGGCAGTGGTAGGTGGATCTCTGTGAGTTTGAGACCAGCCTGATCTACAGTGCGGGTTCCAGGACAGCCTCCAAAGCCACAGAGAAACCCTGCATCGAAAAACCAAAAAAAAAAAAAAAACCCAACAAAAACCCAGATAGCCCATGAGAAACTCAGATAGTCAGGCGCAACCAAGAACCTGCGACTTTCAGCAAGATTTACTGCTTGGATTCGGAACCGGAGCGGCCACGCCCCTCTTCGCTAAGGTTCCTGCGTCTGGCCTAGTCTCGAGAGGCCGAGGGTATCACGTGACATACTTGGGCCTGAAGTCCATTCCACCTTATTGCTTTTGGGCGGCGTCAGCTTCCGGAAGAAAACCGGTCCCAGAGCAGCATCCCAGGCCTGCAGTCCCGGGCGCAAGTGCGGAAGTGCGGTGGCACCGTGGGTGATCGGTTTCCGGTCTGTGCTGCTGCACCGGGCTCTTAGAGCCACGTAACGGCTGGGGGTCTGCAGCCATGGCGGATAGGAAGACTAATGGTGGCGGAGCGTCCGCCTCCTCGTCGGGCACTAACTTACTCTTCTCCTCCTCGGCCACGGAATTCAGCTTCAACGTGCCCTTCATCCCCGTCACGCAGGCCGCCGCCTCCCCGGCTTCCCTGCTCTTGCCCGGAGGTAGTGAGTCCAGGGCGCTTGGGGGCCAGTGTGTGCTCAGAGGAGGGTGGGACAGGAACGTCGCCTTCTCTGGGCCGCTTTTCAGGGTCAGCAGTGGCCAGCTTCCAGAGGGCCAGGGCCTGTGCGATCCTGGAGGAGGGGCCTTGCTCTTGGTTCAAGGAACTCCTGTCATTGCACAAGTTTTTGTTGAACACCCACTGGTGTGCTGGGTGCTGGCAGGGAATGCAGCTGGATTTGACAGTTACCCTCTGCTAGAGTACCACAAGCTATCCTCTTACTGGGAAACCCCTGTGATGGGGCAGGACACCATCTAGGAGACAGTAAGCTGTCTCCAGAGGGGACAGGACCCCCTCTTGCAGAGTCCTATAAGCTCTCCTAGAAGAAGACTTCGGGTTTCAAGAGGATACCTCCTAGGATAGACAGCGTTTTCTACTAGGATTGATACGTAATATCCGGGGTGTAGGTACAGAATGCATTTCTCATTTTTCAAGGTATCGCTTCCTCTGAGTTTTGCCTTATTCTCTCAGGCTCTCACCTGCCCTCACCTCCTTTTGCTTAGGCTCTGTGTATTGTCTGGGAAGATTGATTTTTGGACGAAATTATAGTGCTTAGGAGCGCAGACTGTTCCAGTCCAGGCCCTGCCACTAACTTGCTGTGTGGCCTCAGGCATGACTTTTATTCGTCTGCTTAAATTTCAGATTTTTAGCCCCCACCCCAACCTTTGAGACAAGGTCTCTACATTGTCCTGGCTCTCCTGGAACTCACTATGTAAAGGAGGCTGACCTCAAACTCACAGATATCCTACTGCCTCTGCCTATGAGTACTGGGATCAAAGGCGAGCCGTCATGCCGTCTCTCTCTTTTTGTAGAGTTCTATAGTGCTCTGCACATAGTGTTGTGTAAATATTTGTGAGCTAAGAACCTCTGCCTCTCCATTTGGACTGTGAACTTCTTACCTGTTTTATCTGCAGGGTCTTGTTTATAAATGTGCCTAGCACATAGGTCCTTATCGGATACTAACCCCTTTCCACTAAATAATTCCAACTTGGAAGATTAAGGGAAACTTCCTGGAGAGGAGAAGACAGACTAACTGGAAGTACCTGTGTATGAAGGGTCCCCTTTCTGTCCTGACTCTTCTTGGTGCTGTTAACTGTCTGACATGTACACACACCTGTTCATCCTACCAGGCGAGAGTGTAAGCATCTTCAAAACCGGGACTTAGTTTAGCCCTCGCTATAGCCAACTGCCCAGAGTGCAGAACTCATGATATCCAGTGGTGATTTGGTGAGTGAGTGCGGGATATTGGGTTGTGGGACTCAATACCGAGAGTTCGCCTGTCTCATCTAAGCAGCAGTGTTGCTGAAAGGTTAAGTGTTGCTTTCTTTGCTAAAGGATTGTTGTGGCTGCTACAAAGTGCCGTGAAGGATCCAGGAATAAATAAGGTGGTGCCTCGGAATTTTCAGATCACTCTCTGTGTCCTGAGTGGTGTTTGATTCATGCCCATCTTCCTTGCTGTATAATAATGGATTTGTGTGTGTTTTGAATTATTATTATTTTTAAAAATTCTGTGTGTTGGTGTTTTGCCTGCATCTGTGTCTATGCGAGGATGTCGGACCCCCAGGAACTGGAGTTACAGTTATGAGCAAGCTGCCATGTGGGTCCCACCTTTATTCATTTGTTAATTGACTTTTGAGACATGGTGTCATCTTGTAGCCCAGGGTAGCTTGTGCAGTCCACTTGTCTCAGTCTCCTTAGTGCTTTGGGTGCTGGCATGAAACACCATTCCCAGATTTATACTATCTTTAAAATGCTTGATGATCTAGTTTTATTATTATTATTTTTAAAATTTGTTTACTTTATGTATATGAGTGTTTTGTTTTCATCCATACCAGAAGAGGACACCAGATCTCATTATAGATGGCTGTGAGCCACCATGTGGTTGTGGGAATTGAATCAGGACCTCTGGAAGAGCAGCCAGTCAGGCTCTTAATTACTGAGCCATCTCTCCAGCCCCCTAGTTTTATTATTTTTAAGAATGTGTACTAGTGTGCGTGTGTGTGACTTTGGATCTCTCTGGAGCTGGATTTGCAGGTGGTTGTGAGCTGCCTGTGTGGATGCTGGGAAACCAATGTGGGTCCCCTGTAAGAACAGCACATGCTCCTAACCACTGAGCATCTCTTCAACCCCATCTTGAGAAGTGTTACTTCTTAGATGCAAGCTTTTTTTGTGAGAACACACAAATAGCTTTTAGAACTGCCATTCCATAGCAAGTATTTTCTTTCTTTTTTGTTTTTGAGACAGAATCTCTTGTGTTCTGTAGCTCTGGCTATCCTGGAACTCCCTATGCAAACCAGGTTGACCTTGAATTCACAGAGATCCACCTTCCTCTTCCTCCTGAGTGCATAACAAGTATTTTCTACACTTAAAAGATTTCATGATTAGAGATCTCTTCAGAGCATTTCTGGAGACAAAGGAGACCCCACCTCCTGGGAAATAACAGTGAATCCCCTCAGTGGAAGAGACAGGAGGCAGCCTTAGGAGAGCCTCTCTCTGTCAGGCCCTGTCGCAGAACAGCGTGTCCATACACACCAACACCTCCTTACGTAAGCTGTTGTGGTACAGCTTTTAAAACAGCTGGAGGTGGGATGTGCTTGACCCCTGTGAGTCTCAGCTGGTGAAATGGAGGGATGATGTTCCTTAAGGTCTCAGAGCCTCACAGGAAGTGATTTGAGCAGAGTTTGAAGGATCCGAAGAAATGAGGGAGTCTGGAGATATGAGAAAAATCTGCAGGCTTGGCGGGAGTTGGTGGTGGATGGTATGGGGCAGTCTGGACCTCTCTCCTCTCCTGTTTCCTGTCCTTCTACTCTCCTTCACGTAGATCACTGACTAGAGTGTGTGCAGGGGAGTGACCTAGTGGCCTGCGGGACTCATACTGTGCTAAAAGGTTTGTGCTTCACTAAACTCCGTGGGGAGCCTTTGAAGGGTTTTGTTGAGAGTCTCCCTATGTAGCTCTGACTGGTCTACAACATAGAACTTGCTATGATGACCAAGTTGGACTTACTGTCACTGAGGTCCTCCCGCCTGTTACCTCCTGAATGCTGGGATTAAAAGTGAGTACCAACACACCTAATCTTTGAAGGATTTTTAGCAAGACATTGAAATTAGAAGTGTACTTAAGAAAGGCTTGGGTTTTCTATTTATTTATTTTTGTTTTTTTGAGACAGGGTTTCTCTGTATTGCTTTGGAACCTGTCCTGGAATTCACTCTGTAGACCATGCTGGCCTCGAACTCACAGAGAGCTGTCTGTCTCTGTGCCCCCCCCCCAGTTGCTGGGATTAAAGGCATGCACCACCAACACCTGTCAAGGCTTACATTTTCTAAGAGTGCCCTGGAATAGGATTGATGGTCACAAATGTGGTCAGTTGATAGCCCCTTTAGGTCAGGCAGGAGTAAATGTTACCCTAGCCCAAATGAACCACATTGAGTAACAAGGGTAGAAGAAAGATAAGAGACTTTATTTTTGATTTTTATTTTGTAATGCTGAGGAGCAGACACAGCCTTGCACACTCCAGGCAATCAGTCTGCTATTGAGGGGCGTTCCATGGCAGAGGTGTTTATCAGAGGCCTCATGACTCTTGGGCCAGACAATCAACTCTGTGTGAGTGTCAAGGTCCATTATCCTTCATTAGAGCTCTGAGTTCAAGCTCTGCAGCTGGTGTGTAGTAGGTACCCCATTCCTGATTCTTCAGTGAATATTGAAAGGACCATACAAAAGGTCTGAGAGATGTGAGGTTTCACATTGACATCTGGATAGTTGGTGAATTTCTGTTTGAAATGGGAATGGTTAACATAATAAATTCATTGTGAGGCTTACTAAGTTTGACACACGTGACTGGGTCTACCAGAAGTATTGGAAAATTATGGAATACAGGAGGACAGTCTGAATTTGACATGAGATGGGAGAGTCACAAGCTCCGGGTCTAGACCCATTTGTGTCTCTATAGAATTAGAAAGTGCTCCTAGGATGAAGCTGGAGATATGTTGAATCTTCTTCTTCTTCCTCTTTATTATTATTATTATTTTAAATTGGCTTCATGTCTTAGGGTTTCTATTGCTGTGAAGAGACACCATGACCACAGGAACTGTTAAGAAGAAATCGTTTATTTGGAGTGTTCACTTTACAGTTTCAGATGTTCAGTCCATTAACATCGCAGTGGGAAGCATGGCAACATTCAGTCAGATGGTGCTAGAGCTAATAGAGCTACCTACATACTGCAGGCAACAGGAAGTCAACTGAGACTCTGGATGGCATCCTGAGCATAGGAAATCTCAAAGTCCAATGAGACACTTCGTCCAACAAAGCCATATCTCCTGATAGTGCTACTCTCTATGAGATTACTGGGGCCAGTTACATTCAAACTGCCACACTTTATGTTGGCCAATATGATTTGGAACTTTTAGGCCCAAGTGTTTTGTCTGCCTCAGTCTCTGAGAAGCTGGGACGTAGGCATGTCTTTGGATAGTGTAGTCCATCATAGGCCAGAAGGACAGCCATAGACTCTGCACTCTGACTAGAGCTACATTTTGGGTATTATGGCCAAACCTGTGGAGTGGAGTCTCCTCACTATTGGTGTGTGAAGTATAATTGGGACAGCCTGAAAGCTGAAGGCAGAATCACTATGAGGTCACAGAGAGTCCAGAGCTTTGGCAGTTCTCCAAGGGCAGGAACCATAATGTGCCTGTGTGCTGGGAGCGGCTCCAAACATCTGATGGACTGTAGCCCTCCAGCAGTTGCAGATAAAGGTGACCAAAGCAAGATTAGGAGGAGAAAGCTGAAACTTGCTCCTAAAAGTAGAACAAGGAAGAGTGGGGTCTTGATGTTAGTTAGTGGGAAAATGATTCCTTGTGAATTACTTGATTAAAAAAAAAGATTTCTTGTGAATTACTTGATTTTTCTTTTTTCAAGACAGTGTTTCTCTGTGTAGTTCTGGCTGTCCTGGAACTAACTCTGTAGACTAGGCTGGCCTCAAACTCACTATTTCTGCTTCCTGGGCTCTGGGAATAAAGGAGTGCAATCCTACACCTGGTAAGAATTACTTGATAGCAGAATAGAAGAGATGTTGTTGGAGCTTGAGCTGAAAATACAGTGAAGATGCAGTTGTCCAGTCAGGAGACCTTCTTTTAGAAAAATTTCTTTCTAGTGACTTGCTGTTTTGCTAAATTTTTCATTTATTGTGTGTGTTATATGTGGAGGATCAGAGAATATTTTGTGGGGGTGGTTCTCGCTTTCCTTCCTGTTGGTTCTGGGACAGCCAACTTTACCTGCTGAGCCGTCTTACCAGCCTGTGACTTGGTGTTCTTTAATGTCTGAACATGTAGTTATGACTACTGCTTACATTTTAGGGGTTGCAGTTAATGGGCAACATACCTTGCCTTGGAAACACTAAGAGCTCATGCTTGATGGCAGGTTTTCATCAGGACCACAGGCTCCCAAGTAACTACATGGATACTCCTTGCTAATTATGAAAGCTCAGCCAATAGTGTAGGTTTGTTTTTAGTTAGCTCTTATAACTTAAATTATCTCATTTCTGTTCGTCTTTGTGCTGCCCTGAGGCTCATTTGCCCATCATGCTTCTTCCCCATCTGCCTCGAGACTCCTCAGACTCCACTTTTCTTCTCCCTGGCAATCTCTCTGTCCTGAAAAATCCTGCCTGGCTGCTGACTGTGTAGCTTTTTTATCTTTTAATTTTTAAATGTTTTCAAAAAATTTTTTTTCAAGATAGGGTTTCTCTGTGTAGCAGCCCTGGCTGTCCTGGAACTCACTTTGTAGACCAGGCTGATCTTAAACTCAGAAATCCACCTGCTTCTGCCTCCCGAGTGCTGGCATTAAAGGTGTGCACCATCACCGCCTGGCCAGTTTTTTTATTAAACCAATCATAGTGACATATATTCACACAGTGTAAAGGACTATTCCATATTTCCCCCTTTTCTCTAAATAAAAAGAAAGGCTTTAACTCTATAATAAGAACAATTATCAGGTAAGAATTACATTTACAATGTCCAGTCCATTTGTATTTGGCATATTTGGAGAAAATGCTACATTATCTTTGTGAATTTAAAGTTTTATACCTAATTTACCTTTTATCATAACTAAGGAAAATTTTAAGTTTGATTACTTAGTCTTTAACTCCATCAAAGACCCCAGAAGGGTGTAATGTTACCTAATGACAGGGGCATTTGGCTGCCTGGGCAATTGTCACCCAAAATTCTTCTGTAACATTGGGGCATCCAGCTTTGGCCTACAGTCCTAGTATATCTGACAGACGCTTTTGAGAAGCAGGGCATCTTGAAAGACTGTCCTACCTTGTCTTGTCAAAGTTTGGCAGTCACTTTGCTTTGCAGCCTGCTGGTCCATTTTACACAGTATACTGTCAGCAGTTGAGGCGAGGGCAGTTTTTTGCCCAAATCGATAGCTTTTACCATAAAGAAAGCAGACTCTATATGGAGTTTCTTCAGTGCTATCATCCCATTTTGAAGCAAATTGGTGGTGTCAGGAGGAGACATGTCTCTGTTATGAAAAGCCTTAGGTTATTAAACACCTTAAATGCCATATTCTAAGCTGGGCATTGGTGGCACATGCCTTTAATCCCAGCACTTGGGAGGCAGAGGCAGGCGGATCTCCGTGAGTTCGAGACCAGCCTGGTCTACAGATTGAGTTCCAGACAGCCTCCAAAACAATACAGATAAACCTTGTCTCGAACCCCCCCCAGAAAAAAATGCCATATTCTATAGATCTTTGAAGTGTCTGAAGACCATCTATCTATCTATCTATCTAAATATATCTGTTTAACCTTTAAAACATGACTACAAGTTTGATTATTATGGATGACTATTAACCTATATTTCTTAATTCTATATTACATTTCCTCCCTCCCTCCCTCCCTCCCTCCCTCCCTCCCTCCCTCCCTCCCTCCCTCCCTCTCTTCCTCCCTTCCTTCCTTCCTAATAGGCAGGGTTTCTCTGTAGCTTTAGAGCCTGTCCTGGAACTCACTCTGTAGACCAGGCTGGCCTCAAACTCACAGAGATCTACCCGTATTTACCTTCCGAGTGTTGGGATTAAAGGCGTGTACCACCACCACGCAGCTTATACATTACATTTTTAAATGAGCTGCATAAACACAATACCCCAAACAAGAGTAGAAATATACATACAGTATAACAAATTTGAATCAATAAATGAAAATCCATACCAGTGTAAAATATTTTGAGATTAATAGCTTTTTGGATTAAAGTACATTCGATAATCTACCCTTTTTCCTGTCATCCCTATATTGTATTCCCCTTTTTTCCTTTAGGAAAAGAGCTTTGAATTTAACTCCTTTGTTTAGCTTGTTTTCTGATAATGACCAATAACGATTTGTAACCAACCCCTTTTAAAAACTGTAACGTGTTTAGGGTTTTTTTCTGTCTGGATCTCTCTTTACTGAGTATCTTTACTGTTTTTTTGATTGCATGAGACAAATCTTAAACTGCTGTGTCAGCCGCTGGCACTGCTTAGTTTAATGAGTGGTGCCACATGGCGCTTGGTGACTGACATACCTTTACTTGTCAATATAACTACTGCCTGTGCTTTAGTTTCTCTTTATCATTGCAGAAATAAATTTAGATAGGTTTTGGTTATATGGTAACATTTGAATTATATCAGGAAAAAAGATTTAACATATAAAAATAAGTACAAAATTGCTTCTTTAAAAAAATCCTTTATGTAAACATGAACATTTTTGTTTTATTTTGTTTTGGTTTTTCCAGACAGGGTTTCTCTGTGTAGCCCTGGCTGTCCTGGAACTATGTAGACTAGACTGGCCTTGAACAGAGATCCACCTACCTCTGCCTTCTGAGTGCTTGGATTAAAGGCATTGCCACCTCACCTGGCTGTAAACATAAATGTTTACAAAAGAAGTAATTACATTTATATAGAAAGTTAAAAGGGCACATTCCAAAGTGTTTTCCTTTTTTTTTTTCTGTTTTTTTTCTTTCTTTCTTTCTTTCTTTTTTTTTTTTTTTTTTTGAGACGTTTCTCGGTGTAGCCCTGGATGTCCTGGAACTCACTCTGTAGACCAGGCTGGCCTCAAACTCAACTATCTCTCTCTCCTGAGTGCTGGAATTAAGGTCGTGGACCACGATGCCTGGCTTTCCAAAAGTTAATGTTAACAATGACTGGCTGTGGTGGATGAACTCATAACTTTTCTGTACTTTTTAGCTTTTTCAAATTAAGTTTTTTCTCAAATTTTTAAGTTTGTTTAAAAGATTTATTTATTTATTATATATACAGTATTCTGGCATGTATGCCTGCATGCCAGAGAGGGCACAAGATCTCATTACAGATGGTTGTGAGCTACCATGTGATTGTTGGGAATTGGACTCAGATCCTATGGAAGAACATAACCTCTGAGCCATCTCTCCAGCCCCCAGAGGGTTTTTTTTTTAACTTTTTATTTATTATTTGTATCTTTTACATGCATCTTGATCTCATTCATTTCCTTGTCCCTTTATATCTGACCTCTGCCCTTGCACCCTCCTCACCAAAATAAAATGAAATGAAATTTAATAATAATAAAAAAAAGAACTCTTGTGGTGGAAACAGTAGTATGACACAGGGAGTCACACAGTGTATCCTTTTGTCCGTATATCTTTAGTGTTCATTGCAAAGAGTCATTGGTTTGGTTTGAGGCCTCTGGTTAAGAGAAAAATTTTAAGAGAAGGACTTTCCTTTTTCCCTTATAGTACAGAAAATACAAATTAAGAGTAACAAAGTAACAGGTCTATGCTCCGTCCTGGTCACTGAGCCTCCCACAGAGGTGCTGCTGCTTTTTAAGCATTGTTTCCTTTGCTCTCTCCTGTTGTGTTGCAGAGGACTCCACAGATGTTGGTGAGGAGGATAGTTTCCTTGGCCAGACTTCTGCTCACACCTCCACCCCACAGACATTCAGTTACTTCTCTCAGGTGTCAAGCAGTAGTGACCCTTTTGGGAATATTGGACAGTCGCCCTCCACAACTGCATCGGCTGGACAGTCAGCATTTTCCAAGCCCCCAACCACACTCCCTTTTACAGCTGGATCCCAAGATGTGTCGAATACATTTCCCCCGTCTGTTTCCAAGGCTCATTATGGTGCTGCACCTGCCTCACAGATGGGAATAAATACCTATTTGCCTTCTCAGCCCAGTAGTCTCCCTCCAAATTTTGGGAGCCCCCCTCAAGGGATTCCTCAACAAGGACATAACCCATATCGCCACACTCCTGTCAGCAGCAGGGTGAATCCCTACCTTACACCCCCACAACTGCAGCAAAGCCAGACGCCAGGCCACCCCTCCTACCCTCCGCCTCCTGGACCCCCTGTGCAGACGTACCAAATGCCGCCAGGACCGATGCCACCGGTACGTGGACGTCATGCCAGTTTTTTCTCTTAGTGAAAGTTTTAAAAAACACTGTACATTAAAACTTTTTGGGGGTTTATTTTTATGTGTTTTGTTTTGTCTATGTGTGTTTGTGTACCTTGTGCATACAATGCCCTTGGAGACCATAAGGAGGCATCAGATCTCCTGGAACTGGAGTTACAGGTGTTAGCCATCATATGGGTGCTGGGATTTGAACCTGGGTCGTCTGGAAGACCAGCCAATGCCCTTAATTGCTGAGTCATCTCTCCAGCTCAGCTTTATACATTTTAACATACACTGAGGAGAAAGTATATTTTTAACTTATTTTATGTGTATGGGTGTTTGACCTGAATGTGTATCTGTGCACCATATGTGTAGTGTATGCCTGGTGTTCCAGAAAAGGTTACCAGATTCCCTAGAACTGGGGTTGTAGATGATTGGGAGTTGCCGTTTGGGTCCTGGGAATTGAACCCAGGTTATCTGCAAGCACAAGCACTGGGCCATCTCTCCAGCACCAGGACAGAATTTTTTTGTTTGTTTTTTGAGACAGGGTTTCATGGTTTAGCCCTGGCTGTCCTGAAATTTGCTCTGCAGACCAGGGTGGCTTTTTACGGAGGGGTGTGGTGTGTTACTGGTGATCAAAACCAGGGTGATAAATGTGGTAGGTAAGCATTCCCATTGAGCTATACCCCCAGCTCACTTTTTAGTTTTGAGATGGGATCTTACTAAATTGCTTGTTTGGTCTCAAACTCTTGATCTTCCTGCATCAGCCCCAAGTCCTTGATATTATAGGTATATGTCACAAAGGTTATTCTTTGTAAACTGCATGCTTAAAAGTAAACTTTTTTTTTTTTTTTTTTTTGGTTTTTCGAGACAGGGTTTCTCTGTGGCTTTGGAGGCTGTCCTGGAACTCACTTTGTAGACCAGGCTGGCCTCGAACTCACAGAGATCCGCCTGCCTCTGCCTCCCGAGTGCTGGGATTAAAGGCGTGCGCCACCAACGCCCGGCAGTAAACTTTCTTTTTTTTTTTAAAATATTTTATTTATTTATTGTGTACACACAGTCTTCTGCCTGCATGCCAGTGGAGGGCACCAGATCTCATTCAAGGTGGTTGTGAGCCACCATGTGGTTGCTGGGAATTGAACTCAGGTCCTCTGGAAGAATAGTCAGTGCTCCTAACCTCTGAGCCATCTCTCCAGCCCAGTAAACTTTCTTTTTAAAGTAGCTAGTTGGAATTAGCAAGATGGCTCAGGGGAAAGGCACTTGCCATGCAGCCTGAGGACCTACCTGATTTAGATCCCAGGGCCCATATGGTGGAAGGAGAGAGCTGACTCCTACAAATTTTCCCCTGACTCCCACACTTGACTGTGGTGCAAGCCTCCCCACCCAAATAAATCAATCAGTAAATACATAAATATATAAATACAGAAATAAAATTTGTTTTAAGGTAGCTATCAAATGGCTCATATTCAAGTTTACATCACCTATTTACTGAGTAATGGTTGATTTTAATTGCCTAGGTACATGCTGATATTCTCCAACTTTAGTGTATAGTTTCAGTAAGTGTTATCTAAGATGTGAAAATTGAGGCAATGTAGTCTTCACAGAATGCCAGCTGCTTCTTATCTTACCCATACTAGTTAGTGAGAATGCTCATTTACAGGGCTAAAAGTGATTCCTCCACTAACTTTAATGTTTATAGTTTGGTTGTAGCCAATCAAATGTGTGTGTGTGTGTTAGATTAACTTTACATGTTTACATACTTAGAATGGAATGGCTGGGTCAAGAAGTATGGGTATTGTAAAGATGTTAAAAATTATGGGACTTGCCGGGCGTTGGTGGCGCACGCCTTTAATCCCAGCACTCGGGAGGCAGAGGCAGGCGGATCTCTGTGAGTTCGAGACCAGCCTGGACTACCAAGTGAGTTCCAGGACAGCCTCCAAAGCCACAGAGAAACCTTGTCTCGAAAAACCAAAAAAAAAAAAAAAAAAAAAAAAAAAATCATCAGACCTATGCAGGTCTTGTGCAAGCTGCACAAGTTCAAGCCATACAAAATCCAAGCAATGAGAAGGAGAAGTGGGCACAAAGTTCCACCCCTAACCAAGAGGCTGTTTGCACTTCATAGCTTCTGGGAGAGGGAAAAGCCGTTTTTGTTGATGGAGTGGCACTTACTATATCAGCTACACTCCAGGGCAGGCCTCATGCTCTGGAGTAGTTGGCCAACACAAAATGAACTACATGGGTTTTTTGTTTGTTTTGTTTTTGTTTTTCGAGACAGGGTTTCTCTGTGTAGCTTTGGAGCCTGTCTTGGACTCTGTAGTCCAGGCTGGCCTCAAACTCACAGAGATCTGCCTGCCTCTGCCTCTCAAGTGCTGGGATTAAAGGAGTGCACCACCACCACCCTGCTAAACTCCATTTTTGTGTGTGTGTGGTTTGTTTGTTTGTTTGTTTATTTGGGTTTTTTTTTTAAAGAGAGAGCACAAAGTTGGGTGATTGGGGACTTGGAAGGGGTTCGTAAAGGGAAGTATATGTCTAATATAGTGTATGAAAAAAATTAAAAATAGATTCATTAAAAATTTAGAAATTTCCAGGCAGTGGTGGTGCACACCTTTAATCCCAGGCAGAGGCAGGTAGGTCTCTGTGAGTTCGAGGCCAGCCTGGACTACAGAGTGAATTCCAGGATAGCCAAGGCTACATAGAGAAAACCTGTCTTAGGGCAGTAGGTTAAATATGGGAAATATATTTGTGGGTATCATTGTGCCTTTAGTGTGCAGAAGTCTAGTTTATTTTGCAATTGTTTATTACACTAGTTGTGATGCTAAATAGTTACCTAGAAATACATGTAGGATAATTATTGATGTCAGTTGGATTCTGAAGCAGTTAGAGAATTTCTTTTGGGCCCATGTGACGGTTTTAACCTTGTTCCCTTCAGCTTCCTCCGTCAGTGCAGTCACCAGCACAGCAGCAGATCCCTGGCAGACCTGCAGGACCCCCTGCATCAGTACAGGGGCCTTCTCCTTTTGTACTTCCGAACCAGTATGAACCTGTTCAGCCTCACTGGTTTTACTGCAAGGAGGTGGAACATAAACAGCTGTGGATGCCTTTCAGTGTGCTTGACTCTTTGAATCTTGAAGAGATCTATAATTCTGGTAAGTACCCGTTTTACATTATTCCATCTCATTTGAGGAAGAGAAAAGATGAAGGGTGTTTATCCATTACCTGCTTTTTCCAACTGTCAGATTCCTGACTCTGTGTAGATCTCCAGATCCCACTTTAAGATGGTGGTGCTGATTCATATGTATCCTGAGCTATTGAGCAAAGGATTTAAAGAAATAATTTAGCAATTTCTTTTGCTTTATCTGAACACAATGGCACACTTTTCATCCCAGCACTTAGGACAGGCAGATCTCTGTTAGTTTGAGGCCAGCCTTGTCTACATAGTGAGGTCTATGCCAGCCAAAACTACATAGTTAGACCCTGTCTCAGTGAAACAACACTACCAAAAAGTTGTTATAAATCAGAGAAATGTAGTTCTTACATAATCCAAGTTTAGCTTTTCCCATTTACCTTACTCATTTGTAGTTTTAGGACATCAAGTATTTCCCATGGAACCCTGGTTTGTGAAAAAACTTTTCTGAGATCAGATGAGTTTTGGAAATTATTCTCATGTCTGCCTCTTGAGAGAGATGCTACATAGGTCTTAAGGCTCTGAGAAGTCTTGCATACAAATATGATTCTTTATCTTGATATTTGATTATGAGACTTAAATATCAGTCATTATTCTTTAGCAATATACTTCATGGAACTCTGTGGTACATTGATGCTATTGCTGTGTTTTACTTTTGAAATGGGGTCTCATTCAGCCCAGGCTGGCTTCTAACTTACCATGTTGACCGAATTAGCCAGGAACTCATAATCTTCCTGACTCCATACCCAAGTACTAAGATGACAGGTATATGACAGTCTGGTTTGATTAAAAAAAACATGAGCTATTTCAGTTATTTGATGATTTGTGTTTTAAAAGCTTGCCCTCACTCTTTCTTTCTACTCACGAAGAGTCATGATGCATGGCAGCTCACTCCTGTGATCTCAGTACATGGGAGACTGGAGCAGGAGAACTGGTGGGAGTTTAAGGCTGGTCTACACTACGTAGTTGGGTGATGGGTGTTGTGGGAAGTGTAGGCAGAGAGCAGTTGTCATGTGATTCCTGGGAAGAGAGGATGGAAGTGAGGCGTTCTCCAGTAAGAGAAGAAATACTTAGATTAATAATTATGGGTTAATAATTAAGACAGAGCTAGCCAATAAGAAACCCTAGTCACCAGCCAGTAGTTTCCTAATTAATATAAGCCTCATGTGTTCATTTGGGACTGACATGGCTCTGGGACCAGGCTGGCGGGAAGAATGCCCATAACAGTTGTTGGAGCCCTGTTTCCATCTGGAGTCTATTCTGACTTATAATTATGGCATTAGAGTTCAATCTTGCTTGCTTCAGTCTCCTTGAGAGCCGTGAGAAAGTTCTGACTAAGCCCATGGGATAGAGTATATTATCTCTCTAATGAACTGATGCCAGCTGTAGGCACACAGAGAGCTAATGCAGCAGCTTGCTGCCAGCAGGACCCACATGATAGACAGGAAGCCTGGCTGCTCCTTTATTCAAGGACAGTACAGGGAGCTGGTTAATTGACTATGCTGCTCTTTGGTCTGCTTTGCCTCTGGTCTGTATAAAAACAGGGTCCTAATTAAACTCGGGGCTGTCCGGTGTGCTGAAAGGCATGGACTGGGCAGTCCTTCCAAATCTATCCTGTTTCTGTCTCTGTTTCTTTATCTGCCATTTCTCAATCCTCACACCCCTATTCAGGTAACCCAGCTGACTCTTTGGCGCACGCTGTGACACATAGTGAGACTCTGCCTCAAAAAAAAAAAAAATGTATGTCATAATTTTGAGTAATACAGGTTGTCTAGTGTTTTTCAATAAAAACAAGCTTAGTTGTCTTCTTTGAGTATTGACTTGTAACATCATGAATATTAAAATTCATGTTACTTGCATTTTCAATTGTGCCTGGTAACATTAGGGGAAAATGTCTTCTTTTGGTTCCTAGTGCAGCCAGATCCTGAAAGCGTGGTTCTAGGCACGGATGGAGGACGCTATGATGTCTACCTCTATGACCGCATGAGGAAGTCTGTGTATTGGGAAGAGGAGCCAGCTGAAGTGAGACGCTGTACTTGGTTTTACAAGGGGGACACAGATAGCAGATTTATTCCCTATACAGAGGAGTTCAGTGAAAAGCTGGAGGTATGATGTTTACCTTTTTATACTTTTTTTTTTTAAGCAAACAATGACATGTATGAGAGAGGCTTCTGTAACTTACATCATTCACAGTGGAGATGACTTTAATTACAAGATGGTCTGTCTTGATCCTTGTCACTAAGGAGATTGGTCTTTAGGTGGTATCATCACTCAGGAAGTACTGCACAAAGCTCAACCCCGTGTCAATATAAGACTGTATCAGGGTGTGTTGGGGACAGTCTACATCTGCTGACGTGCTTATATCAAGCCTGCAAACAAATTTAGGCAGAAACTAGGCATGGAAGCAATTGTCTGTAATCTCAGCATTCATGAGGCCAAGGCAAGGCTATCATGAGTTTGAGGACTGTCTTGGCTACAGAGAGAATCAGTCTACAAAAACAATCTCCTTTTGATTTTTCAAGGCAGGGTTCTCTGTGTAGGTTTGGAACCTGTACTGAAACTCACTCCATAGACTAGGCTGGCCTCAAACTCCCAGAGATCCACCTGCTTCTGCCTCCCAAGTGCTGGGATTAAAGGCATATGCTACCATTGCCTGACTAAAGCATGATTTCTGAAACAGTTTTATGGTGTGTGTGTGTGTGTGTGTGCTCGCTCTCACTGTGGTGTATGACTGGAGGTCAGAGAACATGCCAAAGTTGGTTCTTTTCCTTCCACCACATGGGTTCTGGGAATGAACCTCAGGTTTTTAGGTTTGGCAGCAAGTGCCTTTATCCACTGAGCCTTCTGGATGGCTCTTTAAGTATAATTTTAGTATATAATTTTAGTATAACAGGGTGCTGATTCCTAGAGCTTAATTTTGAATCTAAACAAGCAAATAACTAAGGATATACTATAAATAATTGTTTGTCTTTTTTAGGTAGGGTCTTACTGTAGTTGTAATATCTCAAAGTCAAACGTTTCAGGCTTACTATTTGAAGCTAAAAGTACAGTATTCAAGTGTGAGTATCTGAAAGCAGAGTAAGCACTTTTAAAAAAATTGTAATGATAATATTGTATGTGGGTGACACAGGCTCCAGGCTGGGGTGGCTGTCTAAGCTCTGCCCAGCTTTCCAAGAAACCCACAGTATTGGTGGAGGCAAAGGAGGGTGGGAAGTGAGAGACATTTGATGCATATGACTCTGTGTTATGTTGGTAATCCTGCCCTATCTGAGTACCAGGACAAAGAACAGAAAATGCTTTTGATTTGATAATGACACAGTTGTCTCTGCAGAAAACCAGGAGAGGGGCGGTGGTGGTGCACACCTTTAATCCCAGCACTTGGGAGGCAGAACAGGCAGATCTCTGTGAGTTCGAGGCCAGCCAGGTCTAGAAGAGCGAGTTCCAGGACAGGCTCCAAATCTACACAGAGACGCCCTATCTCAGAAAACAAAAAAAAAAAACAAAAAAAAAACAACAAAAAAAAAAAACCAGGAGAACATTTAGAAATACCATTATTAGCTCAAATACAATAGTTGAGGGTGACCGTTTATAATCAGCCAATGTAAATTAGCAACATACCTGTTAAGAGAAGCTTTCTTTGAGAGGAGCCTTCTCGCCCGCCTGGTTCCAAATCCGCATCAGTCCCAAATAAACACACAGGAGGCTATATTCATTATGAAGCTGTTGGCCTTGCTTGTTTCTAACTGGCTAGCTCTGACTTAAGTAATTACCCCATAATTGTTAATCTAAGTATGTCTCTTACCGGAGAGGTTTCCAGGCTTCCTACCCCAATGGCGGTTACATCTCGAACTCTCTTGTCTTTCTCTTTCCCAGAATCCTCCTCGACTCCTAGTCCCTCCTATCTAGGTTTTCTATAGGCTCAACAGTACTTTATTGACAAATAACAGGACTTCCCCAACATCTCCTCTTTTCTGTTTAAACAAAAGAAAGGTCTTAATTTTAACATAGTCAAATTGTATATAACAGAACAGTTATCAAATAAGAACATAGTTACAATATTTTAGCAAGATTTAAAGAAAATCATCCATCCCATCCTTGTGAGTCCAAAGTCCTATATGTAGCTTATCTTTTATCATAACTAAGGAAAACTATAATTATAACTATCTGTCTTCAACTCCATCAAAGACCACAGAAGGATAATATATAAACACTAGGATTGACAGAGACATCTTACTGCCTGGACAGTCACCCGAAGTTCCTCTGTAACGTTGGGGCATCCATCTTCAGCCCATAGGCCACAATGTGTCTGGAACACTTCTCAGCAAAGCAGGAAATTTCAAACTGTCCATCTGCGTTGGCAGTCTGTCAGTCATTTTTCTTTGTCCTGCAGAAAGTCTCGTAGACTCTTCATCAAGCAGGAACCCTGTAAGACTGAGTTCAGTAGTCACTTTCCTGTGGGTCCTGCATGTCCAGATGATACAACAACAGTCAAACAATCTAGGCAAGAGCAGTTTCTTGCCCAAATGGCTAATCTTGCCATGTTGAAAGCAAACTTTATAACGAGTTTCTTCGATGCCCATCTTCCTCTCAGACGTAATTGGTGCTGCCAGGAGCAGACATTTCTCATTGTCAAGACAAACCCTAAACCATTTTAAATGCCATGTTCTGAAGGTCTTTGAGAGGTTTGAAGACTGTCCATCTCAAATATATTTCTGTATATCTAGAAACCTAACTTATGTAACTAGAAATTCTATTATAAGTAACTATCTATAGTCTGTATTCAATTATGCATTACGTTGTAAAAGATCAGTATAAGCACAATACTTAATCAAGAGGAGAAATATAAGCATCACAAAATTGACCTTGATTTTGTCTCAATAAATGAAAAACAATACCCATACCATAATTCCCCTTTTTACCATTAAAAAAGATTGGCTGTGATCACTAGCCAATTATAAACAATCCCATTTAAATGAAAACAAAGATTTATAAACAAGATGGGAATTGGGACGTCGCTCATTCCAAACTGCTTCCTGCTGGAAGGGGGCGCTGTTTATACCATGGGGATCATGACAAAACTCAGAAACCTGTATAAGTCCGTATTTTCGGGGTCTGTAAGGCTGTATCATCTTAGCTGTCTCGGTCGTTGAAACACCTGGTCCACTGCTTCTGGGGGGTCTTGGTTCGTGAAACCACAGAAACATGGAAGGAATTCTCAGCTTTTCATTTTCTGTAGAAACATAAATAAAAACTCCTTTTCCAAGTAACATATCCTTACACTTAAATTTTGAAGTCAAGGCATTTTTAAAAGATAGAAGTTGGATTAATTCAGCAGCATTTATAATCAAGTGTACTTTAGCAGCAGTTCCTTCCTGAGCAAGCAAAAAACTGAAAAACACAATAGTGTACAGTATCCAGACTCTCTGTGTATTTTCCATCTTTGTGTGGCTTATTTATTTATTATTACTTTATTTCTTTCACTTTTATTTCTTTTTCTCTGAGACAGGGTTTCTCTTTGGAAATCTGCCTGCCTCTGCCTCTGGAGCAATTCCTACTGGCGTGCGCCACCACAACGCCAGCTTTTATATTTATTTACCACTTTGCCGTTTCATTTTCTCTCTCAATCTCACATATATTTTAAAACACACTGTAAACGTTTAGAGATTTTCTTCATCCAAGTCTGACTTTACTGTAAATCTTTATGTTTTTCTGACCACGTGTCTTATCTGTAAAACCACGGCTGTTTTAAACTGCCGGTTTTTCCGTCAAGATGTGACTCCAGCTTACCGCCTCAGTCCATGCTGACATCCAGCAAAAGCTGCCACTTCCAGCTGTACGTACACACCTTTCAATCGTTAGCAGAGTCTCTTAAAACAACCTTGTTGGTTTTTTTTTTCTTTTTCTTTTCCTTTTTCTTTTTCTTTTTCTTTTTCTTTTTCTTTTTCTTTTTCTTTTTATGCCGAGTCAGGAAGACTCCAGTAAGCGAGCCGCGTGAATCTCGGCTTGTCGCTAGCAAAACAGAGCACACCTGAGAAAAATGCTGCTACCAAAATCTGTGCTTCTCTCTGTTCTTCTGTTTCTAAAATTCCTTTAAAGCTTTTGTCATTCTGCGTGGAAATTCATGATCCCACTCCTGATCACCATTATGTTAAGAGAAGCTTTCCTTGAGAGGAGCCTTCTCGCCCGCCTGGTTCCAAATCCGCATCAGTCCCAAATAAACACACAGGAGGCTATATTCATTATGAAGCTGTTGGCCTTGCTTGTTTCTAACTGGCTAGCTCTGACTTAAGTAATTACCCCATAATTGTTAATCTAAGTATGTCTCTTACCGGAGAGGTTTCCAGGCTTCCTACCCCAATGGCGGTTACATCTCGAACTCTCTTGTCTTTCTCTTTCCCAGAATCCTCCTCGACTCCTAGTCCCTCCTATCTAGGTTTTCTATAGGCTCAACAGTACTTTATTGACAAATAACAGGACTTCCCCAACAATACCTGTGTAATAGAACTGATCAGTTAGAAACATAATAAAAAATATTGTTTATAATGCCAAGAAAACTACAAAGTCTATAGAAAAAGTCCAATAAAAGATGCTCAGTTGGGTGTTGGTGGTGCACACCTTTAGTCCCAGCACTCAGGAGGCAGAGGCAGGTGGATCTCTGTGAGTTCAAGGCCAGCCTGGTTTACAGAGCGAGTTCCAGGATAGGTTTCAAAGCTACACAGAGAAACCGTGGTTCGAGAAATCAAAACAAACAAACAAACAAAACAAAACAACAAACAAAAAGATGCTCATGAGGGCTAGGGCGTGTAGTCGAGTGTAAAATGTCTGCCTAGTATGCATAAGGCCCCTGAATTTGATTTCTAGCATTTTGAGGAGAGAAAAGATATCCATAAGTTGTACACAGTGACATGAGCTGTTAGGCTCAGGAATTCAAGGTTATAATAAGATTACCCCCCATCTTTATGGAGGAAAGGTATAAAAAAGATGGGGAAAAGACTGTAGAGGTTGTCTCAGGAGTAGAGCAGTCTCAGCATCAAAGTTGTCTTCTCAGAGTCCTTGAGAGACTTAATGTGTCTTCTTCCTCTCTAGCCCAAATACTGTTGAGTTACCCACCCCTAGTACCTATGAAAGCAACTTTATGAAGAACTAGGTTGTTGCAGATGAAGTTACTTGGGTAGGGTGTCCGCTAACTCCATATAGCTAGTGCCTTTGTACATAATAAATAAACAGGCAGACATGTTCAGATAGACAGAATGCTATCTATGGTTTGATAGAATCAGAATTTGGAGTTAGGCTTCTGCCAAGGAATGACCTTGATTGTAGCAAGCCAATGGTAGTTAGGAGGGGTGTTCTATACAGGGTTCATAGGGATTGGTGTCCTGCTGTCACTGTGATTTGGAGTGGTAGCCTCAGGACTATGTGACAACAAGATCATTTTATGCTACTTGACTTCTTCAGCCCTAAGAAACTGATACACTGTCTAAACCTCCATTATCTTCTCCTTGTAGCAGAGATAGGACTTAGAAGTGTGTGAGAGCAAACGCTGGAGTAGTTTATGTCAGAGGATAGAAAGCAGGGTGACCAGCAAGCCAGACCTACTGTTTCTGCTGCATTGCCAGCATGATTCCACTCCTTCTTCACACTTGTCCTGATGTGGGTAATGACTGATTGGTTATGTGTTGTTTTGTCACTGTAGGCTGAGTATAAAAAAGCTGTAACGACGAATCAGTGGCACCGCAGATTAGAGTTTCCAAGTGGAGAGACCATCGTTATGCACAACCCAAAGGTGAGGTGCTTTCTGAGATGGTGGGAGGCCCCCTTTAAAGGCTTTTCTGCTGTGTGTGTGATACCATTTCATTTTTAGTGTTTTTCACTAAATGTATTGCTTTTTAATTAATTAGGTTTTTCGAGACTGGGTTTCTTTCTCTGTAGTTTTGGATCCTGTCCTAGAACTCTGTAGACAGGCCTCGAACTCACAGAGATCTGCCTGCTTCTACCTCCTGAGTACTGGTATTAAAGGAATGTACCACCGCCACCCAGCTTTAATTTTATTCTTTAGTGTGTGTGTATTGAGAAAGGGTCTCTCTATGTAGCCCTGCTGTCCTGGAACTCACTTTGCAGAACAGGCTGCCACGAACTCAGAGATCCAGTCCATTTGCCTTTGCTTTAAAGGTTCAAACCGCCATGCCTGGCAAGTGTATCTTGGAATACCTTCCCAAGTGCTAGGGTTTTTATTTTTATTTTTTATTTTTCTTAGACAGGGTTTCTCTGTATAACAGTCCTAGCTGTCCTGGAACTCTCTTTGTAGATCAGACTAGGCTAGAACTCACAGAGATCCACCTGCTCTGCGTCTCACGTGCTGGGATTAGAGGCGTGCACCACCTGTTTGGCATTACCTCAATACTGAAATAATTTTTTCTTTTTGCGTTTTTTGTTTGTTTATTTGTTGTTGTTGTTTTTTTAAGATTTTATTTATTATGTATACAGTGTTCTAGAAGGCACCAGATCTCATTACAGATGGTTGGGAGCCACCATGTGGTTGCTGGGAATTGAACTCAGGACCTCTGGAAGAGCAGCCAGCGCTCTTAACCTCTGAGCCATCTCTCCAGCACCTGTTGTTTTTGTTTTTAAGTAGTTAAGTTTTTTTTTAAGATTTATTTATTTACTATGAATACAACATCCTACCTCCATGTATGTCTGCACACCAGAAGAGGGCACCAGATCTCATTATGGATGGTTGTGAGCCACCGTGTGGTTGCTGGGGATTGAACTCAGGACCTCTGGAAGAGCAGTCGCCATCTCTCCAGCCCAAGTAGTTAAGTTTTTGAAGAATCAAAGTTATGTGTAGATTTCCCCCCCCCCTCACTTATTTGTTTGTTTTGTTTTTAGGTCCCAACCTCACTTTCCCCTCCCTCTCCTCCCAGGTCCACCTCCCATCCACTTCTCTTCTGTTACTCTTCAGAAAAGGGCAGGCAAGTCATGGATATCAGCCAGGCAGAGTATATCAAGTTGTAGTGAGACTAGGCACCCCTTCTATTAAAGCTGGATCAGGTAGTTTAGTAGGAGGAAAGGGTCTCAAAAGCAGACAACAGAGTCAGAATCAGCCCCTGCTGCCACTGTTACAAGTTCCACAAGAAGACCAAGCTACACAACTGTAACATATGTGCAGAGGGCTCCCTAGTTGTTGGTTTGGTCTCTGAGCCCCTATGAGCTCAGGTTAGTTGATTCTGTGGGTTTTCTTGTTATGTCCTTGACCCCACTGGCTCCTCCAATCCTTCTTCCCGCTCTTCCATAGGATTCCCCAAGGTATGCCTAATGTGTTTGGCTGTGTGTCTCTGCATCTGTTCCCAACAGTTGCTGGGTGAAGCCTCTGAAGAGTTGGGCTAGTCACCAATCTTAGTATAGCAGAATATCACTAGGAATCATTACATTGACTTTTTTTTGTTTTGTTTTGTTTTCCAGTCATGTTTGTTCTATCCTAGGTCTCTCGGCTGTCCCACCTCTGGGTCCCAACTCTCAGGGGTTATTGCCCCCTCATTGTATGGGTCTCAGGATGAATCAGTTATTGGTTGATCACTCTTACAATTTCTGTGCTATCTTTACCCCCAGAACATCTTGTAGGCAGGACAAACTGTGGGTGGAAGGTTTTATGGCTAGGTTGTGTCCCAGTCCCTCTACTGTAAGTCTTGCTTGGTTACAGAAGATGGCTGGATCGGGCTTCATGTCCTCCATTGCTTGGAGACTTAGCTAGGGTCATCCTTCTAGATTGCTGGGAGTATCACTTGCACTAAATTTCTAGCTAGTCCTAGCGATTCTCTCCCTCCATCCTCCCCCCACCTGATCCCTCCTGTGCCTATCCCCTCCCCCTCATCCAGATCCTTTCCCATCCAAAGACAATGTCTGTTCTATTAAATCTTAACTTCTCTCCACAGGTGTGCATGTGCACATACCTTTATAACCCCTTCCCATTCTTGTGATGCTGAGACTCAAACTTGGGGGAAACAATCAATATATACTACTTTTGATTTTGGTGTATGATTCCAGCATAGGCATTGGAAATAACAATATGTTTAGTTTTGATAGTTAATGGTAGCTGGACCTTTACAGAATTTGCTTGGGGAACAGGTCTACATCATTTATAATCATGTATACTGTAATGCACAGGATTCTTCATATTAAACACATTAGTTTGAAGTAGGCTTAGCGGTACATGCCTACAATCCTAACACATGGGAGGCAGAGGCAGGAGGATGGCTGCAAGTTCTGGTTGGTCTGATTTTTATCTAGATAACAGGTTCCAGGCCAGTCAGGGGATGTGTAGTGAGACCCCATCTTGAGAACCAAACAACTCCCCCCTCCAAAAAAAAATACTGCTTAGCTTATAGTGGGAAATAATCTTGCTATGAGCCTTGTCATAATTTGTGTCTTGAAGGTTATTGTCCAGTTCCAACCTTCGTCAGTGCCAGATGAGTGGGGGACAACACAAGATGGACAGACAAGGCCCAGAGTTGTGAAGCGTGGAATTGACGATAACCTTGATGAGATTCCTGATGGTATGTTTAGTTTCCTTAGGAGAAAGGTCTGTTTGGGCTGCTCTGTCAGTGTCATCATTCACTATGAAAAAAGAAGCAGTTACTAGAATTTCTGCCAGAGTGCTCAGAGCCATATAGGTTGGTCACATTTGTTTTTTCTTATTATTGATCCTTTTTAATTTTTATTTATTTTTGTAAGTGGTGAGTGTTCTGCCTGCATATATGTTCATGTACCATGTGTGTGCCTGGTGCCAACAGAGGTCAGAAGTAGGAGTCAGATCCCCTGGGAGTTAGGGATGGTTGTGAGCTACCATGTGGGTGTTGGGAACTGAACCTGGGTCCCTTGCCAGAATAAGCACTTTGAACCGCCGAGTGAGTTGTCATCTCTACATTTCAATCTTTTTGTTTGGAGACAGGGTCTCACTATGTAGTGCTGGCTGTCCTGCCTCTGCCTCCTGAGTGCTGAGATTAAAGGTATGAACCACCATGTTCAGCTCATTTTTATCTTTATATGAAAAGGTTTTGGATTATTTATAGGGGCTTGTTTTCAGTTTCAGAGGGTTAGTTCATTATTATCATGAAGGGGAACATGGCAGCAAGCAGGCGACCAGGTAGGCAGGCAGGCAGGTGTGGGACTGGAGAAATAGCTGAGAACTTTAGATCTGTTCCAAAGGCAAAGAGAATGAGTGAAACCTCAGTAATACCTCCCAAGCCACACCTCCCAATCCTTCCCAAATAGTTCCACTCCCTGGTGGCTAAATATTTAAATATATGAGCCTATGGCTGCCATTATCATTCAAACCATACTCCTAGAGGTTTTTGGTTTTTTTTGTTTGGAGATGGGGTTGCAGTGTATAGCCCTACTTGGCTTTGAACTTGCTATGTAGACCAGGCAAGCCTCCAACTCAGAGATCCACCTGCTTCTGTCTCCAGAGTGATGGGACTGAAGGTGTTCAGGACCATGCCTGTCCCTCCTAGAACATTTTTGAATTAAGGAGAAGGATTTGGGGAATAAAGATATTGGCAGATTGCTTGTCCATGTCAGATTTAGTGCTCTGGGGAGCTATTTATTTATTTATTTATTTATTTATTTATTTATTTATTGTAGTTGTTTTTTGAGACAATTTCTCTCTGTAACATCTTGGCTGTCTTGGAATTCACTTTGTAGACCAGGCTGGCCTCCAACTCACAGAGATCCATTTGCCTCTGCCTTCTGAGTGCTGGGAATAAGGTGAGCACCGCCAGACATCAAAGTTTTTTGTTTTCGTTTGACTGAGCTCAGGGCCATTTCATGTGCTCACTTTATACTACCGAGCTACACCTTCATCCCAGCCCTATGGAACTCCGAAAAGATCACATGTTATGGTGGGTAGGTCCATGGGTTTGTGAAGAACAGAGCCTGTTTCCTTGACTTCTCCATTTAGTTTGTTGTTATTTGTCTTTTTTGTTATTGTTGTTGTTTTTTCAAGACAAGGTTTCTCTGTAGCTTTGGAACTACAGTTCTCTGTCCTGGAACTTGCTCTGTAGACCACGTTGGCCTTGAACTCACAGAGATCCATCTACCTCTGCCTCCTGAGTGCTGGGATTAAAGGTATACACCACCACTGCCTGGCCTGTTATTTGTCAAGGTAGCCAAATTATTTTAATTTGATAAAGGGCAATGAGGGATATTTGCTTAAAAGGGTAATAGATTTCTTTGGCCAGTTTTTGTTGTCATTGTTTTTTGAGACAGGTTTTCTCTGTGTAGCTTTGGAGTCTGTCCTGGAACTCTCTCTGTAATCAGGCTGGCCTCAGACTCTCAAAAGATTTGCCTACCTCTGCCTCCAAATTATTTGACTAGTTAATGATAAAAGAGATATCAAGAATTTAGCAATTTAGTTGGGCAGTGGTAGTACACACATTCCCAGTGCTCCGGAGGCAGAGGCAGGTAGATCTCTGAGTTTGAGGCCAGCCTAGTCTGCAGAGCGAGTTCCAGGATAGGCTCCAAAGCTATAGAGAAACCCTGTCTCTAAAAACAAACAGACAAAAAAGAATTTAGCAATTTAATTAACTGTGCCGAAATCTCAAAGTACGTGTGTGTGTGTGTGTGTGTGTGTGTGTGTGTGTGTGTGTGTGTGTGTGTGTGAAATGATTTTTGTTATTTGTTTCTTTTTACTAGGAGAAATGCCTCAAGTTGATCACTTGGTGTTCATGGTGCATGGCATTGGACCTGTGTGTGACCTGCGCTTTAGAAGCATAATTGAGTGTGGTAAGTGCAAGCCGCGTTTCATTTCATAGAAGAACCTGAGTACTGAGGGAAGGGCTCTTATTTTTATTTTTTATTTTTTTGGTTTCTCTGTGGCTTTGGAGGCTGTCCTGGAACTCACTCTGTAGACCAGGCTGGCCTCGAACTCACAGAGATCCGCCTGCCTCTGCCTCCCGAGAGCTGGGATTAAAGGCGTGCGCCACCAACGCCCGGCTGGGAAGGGCTCTTAATATTCATTTTATAGTAATTCCTAGCTGTGTATTTGTGGCTGAGGGCACTAAAAGAGGAGATTTCTGTGGTCAGTAGGAAGTATTAACATGTGTTGGAGGATCCTTGCTTCTAAAGAATTAGAAGGTGTCATGAGAATAATTTCAGGTTTTGGCAGACCTGGAGCTCCTGTGCACTGAACTGATTCATAGGGAATCCTCTGAGAAACTGTTTAAGGATGTGCCAGTGACCAACCATTCTCAGTTGGGCTGGGAATGTAAAGACTTTGTCTGCAATAATAGTTTGCATTTACTGGACACTTGGTATTACTTGTATTGTATCCCTCACAAATATACCTCTGGGTGTGAGTTTGCTACTGTTATCTCTAGTGCTAAGTGAGGAAAGGCCTTGGTTGAGGTAAGTACTCTACTGTCACAGTTAGTCAGTTCTGGAACCTGATGAGGAGGAGGGAGGGGATTTGATTCCAGTCGTCTGGCCTTACACTGTAGAGGTGGTTAAGTAATTATTTTAGGCTTCAAAAATAATGAAACCGCCGGGCGTTGGTGGCACATGCCTTTAATCCCAGCTCTTGGGAGGCAGAGGCAGGTGGATCTCTGTGAGTTTGAGGCCAGTCTGGTCTACAGAGAGAGTTCCAGGACAGCCTCCAAAGCCACAGAGAAACCCTGTCTCAAAATCCGCCCCCAAAAAGAAACTTTTTAAGGTCTTCCTAACAGATGTTTGTTCATTTACTATTTTGTCATTATTTTTAAAAGCATATATCTTTATATTATTAAAAATGCCAGCACATTTAGGTTAGCTTCCAAGCTAAGATAATCAATTTACCTCATGATTTTTTTTCCTTTTTTTTTTTTTTTTAGTGGATGATTTTAGGGTGGTTTCTCTCAAGTTGTTGCAGACACACTTCAAGAAGTCTATAGACGATGGGAAAGTCAGCCGAGTGGAGTTCCTTCCAGTTCACTGGCATAGTGCCCTCGGTGGGCATGCCACGGGTGTGGACAGGTTTGTAGATTTTTGATGTCATGTTTTTCAGAGCAGATTTCAGAGCAGAGCAGAGAAAATTAGAGGCAGATTTCAACTGTAATGCAAACGAGCTTATTCCAACTTTAGCAAATAAGGTTCTTTGTGTTAATGATAATCTTGCTCTGATGTGGCGAGATGCTAGTTATAAATATGTGACTGTTCCCCATGTATATCTGTGTGTTTGCTCTTACTGTCAATATTTAAGAGGATCTAGGAATGACATTAGACCCTTTGAATTTATTTTTGGTGCTGGAAATTGAACTCAGATTCCCAGGTGTGGTAAACACATTCTGACTCTGCGGCTGACTTTAAAACCCACTCTGACCTGCTGTGGTTAGGTGGGGCCCGCTGGGAATGCTCAGCAGCCTCCTTGTCTGGTTAATAACCAAGTAGATCTCCTTCAATACGTGATGTCCCCCATGGCGCAAAAACCCCACCCCTGTTTGGGATTTAGACTGATAGTTTCTTTGTGGGGATGTTAAATGGTAGGATGTCTATCGATGCCACTGAGGGCTAGCAGCATTTACCAGGCACTGTGACAGAAATCCACACTCAGTTTAGAATGTTCCCATTTCAGAGCCACAGGTTCAGATAATATTTACCCCGCCACATGTGGCTAATAAAATGCTCCCTGTTAGTGGTTCCTGTGATGTGTTGGGGCACATGCTTTCATAAAGCTATCCCTGCAGACAGCGTTCTGGCCACATTCTATCAGGTGCTCACTTCCTCAGTAAATGCTGAAGAGCTTTTGTTTCAAGTGACTCCTATATTCTAACTGTGACAGCCTCTTGTCTCTTGCCAACCACAATTTTTGTCAGGCATCCAGATTTTCAGTTAGTCAAAAGAAAATGGACAGTAGGTTTTTTTTTTTTTTGTTGTTGTTGTGTTGGTTTTTTTTTGTTTTTTTGAGACAGGGTTTCTCTGTATTGCTTTGGAGGCTGTCCTGGAACTAGCTCTTGTAGGCTCTGGCCTCGAACTCACAGAGATCTGCTAGCCTCTGCCTCCCAAGTGCTGGGATTAAAGGTGTGCACCACCAGTGCCCGGCAGACAATAGGCTTTTCTATGTAAAAATCATCCTGTGGCATTTACAAGTTCATTGTACTAATTAATGTATAATCTGTACCTTTGTATTTTTTTTTTCAGAATAAAAATCTAAACTGTTAAAAAAAACCCAGAGGTTGAAGGTAAATGCTAACAGTAACTTTGTTTTTCCTTTTAAACAGGAATATCAAGAAAATCACTTTGCCAAGTATTGGTCGGTTTCGGCACTTTACTAATGAAACTCTGCTAGACATTTTGTTTTACAACAGCCCCACCTACTGTCAGTCAATTGTGGAGAAAGTGGGAGTGGAGATAAACCGGCTATACTCGCTCTTTTTGAGTCGGAACCCAAACTTCAAAGGAAAGGTCTCCGTTGCTGGTCACAGTTTAGGTAAAGCTGTCACGTAGTTTCAGATGTGCCTGTTCAGTTTGTCCAGTCATTGCTTTGTGTTTGTCTGGCTGCAAAATTTTAGAGAGCTTGGGTTTTGAAGAGAAGACAGTGTTTTGTGTTGAGGCTGCCTTTGCTTTTTGTGTCCAGTAGCAGAGGAAGGGTATGTGTTTTCACTGTTGTTTCAAGGGTTTATTTCACTTACGTAGTGAGTGTGGGTCTGTTGAATGTATGCCATGTATATGTGGGCTTCCTTGGAGGCCAGAAGGAGGGTAACTCATCCCTGGAACTGGAGTTAATGGTGCTTGTAAACTGGTGGGTATGGGTACTGGGAACCAAGATCAGGTCCTCTGGAAGATCAGGGTGCACATAACCACTGAACCGTCTCTCTAGCCATTAGACTGTACATGTTGTTTTGTCTTTAGATGAAACAGAAATATTACTGGATCTAGAATGGGTAGGTAAAGCTGTCCCATGTAATTTCAGATTTGCGTCTTTGGTTTGTTCAGAAGTTGCTTTGTGTTTTTCTGGCTGTAAAACTTAGAGCATATACAAGACTCATACACATGTACACCCCTGGGCGTATGTACTACAGCACCCACTCAGGGTCAGAGGACAGCTCTGTGGGGTCCTTTCTCTTCCACCTTTACATTGTGCCGGGGAGCAGAGATTTTATTTTAGCTTACAGTTGTAGTCTGTCCCGAAGGGAGGGCAGGGCAGGGCTTCCTGTGTACACAGGAACCTGGAAGCAGGAGCTGAAGTGGAGACTGTGGAGGATGCTGCTTATTGGCTTGCTCCTCCAGGCCTGCTCAGTACACTCCAGGATCACCTGCCCAGAGATGGCACCACCCAGAGCAGGATGGGTCTTTCTGCTTGAGTCACTGCCAGTGTGATGGGGGTGTTTTCTAGTTGAGGTTTCCTGTTTTCTGATGATCCTAGCTCTGGCAGGTTGACAGAAACCTAAGAACCAGCACACATGGGCTCTGGAGATGAAATTCAGGTTGCTAAGCTTGCAAGGCAGAGACCTTTACTGGCTGAACCAGCCGTCTTGCTGGTGCTGATTGTTGGATTTTAATCAGCTGCTCATCATTGCAAGACTTCTGCTAGAGACTGATAAAAAGCCAGGAGGAAAGTACCTGGGGCAGGTAACTTTGTTAATAAAGCACAATATATCTTTTTCTTACTTAGGTTCATTGATTCTGTTTGACATCTTGTCTAATCAAAAAGATGTGAATGTCTCTAAGTCTTCAGGGTCCATGGCTGTTTCCAATGGAGTTATGAAACAGGAACAGCAGGTAAGTCTGTAGTTAACCTGTGAGATTTAGAGCTAGCCCCGGTTGTTCTCCAAAGCTTGTACTGTTTCTAGTAACTTTTTAGTTGTCAAAATGCATGGAGACTCAGAAGTACAGTAGAGGAGTTGGGCTGCATTGGAGGCAGATGGGAGGAGGATGGGTTCAAAGCCAGCCTGGCAGCACAGTGAGATGCTCATTCCTGTTCCTTATGGATTATAAAGTAAATGTGAAGACGTAGGATTTTAAACAGTAAATTATTATTACATTTGTTTATTTATCATCTATCTACTTATTTTTGAGGCAGAGTTTTTCTGCGTAACAGCCCTAGCTGTCCTGGAATTTTATTTTGTAGACCAGGTCTGAGATCCGCCTGCCTCTGCCTCCCAAGTTCTAGGATCAAAGGTGTGCACCACCACTGCCCAGCTTTAAAGGTAAATTATTATAGGAATGGAAACATGAGTGATTTACTAGACGAATATGCGTTAAAGTCCGGGTGACAGATGGAAGAATGCTAAAATTGTGGTTTATTTGTAGAGCAAAGTCATTTCAGATTTTGTGAAGATTAGGAGACATATTATGGGAGTTTTTTTCTGAGCTTTCTAATATTTTCTTCTCCTTTTTATTAAGATACCTGAAGAGTCTAAGTTGATGTCAGATGAATCATGTGACCTTGATGTTGAAAATGAAGAACCCCTAACTCTGCATGGAACCTTGGAAGCTCTCAGCCTCTTTGATTACATTAGCACTTTTGAAAAGGAGAAGATGGACATGGAATCCCTGGTACTGATAACCTGATTCATTTCACTGAAAATTATTCTTCCTTTGTATAAGCTTGAAAATTGAAGAATGGCATAAGCATTCTTACATCAGAATTTATTCCACATAAGCCAAAAATTTAAATGATTAAAAAACAGAGAACAGGCGGCTGGGGAGAGAGTTGTCTCAGGTTAAGAGCACTGGCTGCTCTTGCAGAGGACTGAGGTTTGGTCCCTGGCACTCACACTGAGGCTCACAACTGTCTGTGACTCCATTCCAGGATCCAGGGCCCTCTTTTGGCTTCTGTGGGCACTGGCACACACATAGTGACATAAAAAAAAAAAAAAAAAAAAACCCAAGGAACACATACATATAGAATAAGTACAGCAAAAAATTTTTTTCCTGGTTTTTCAAGTCAGGGTTTCTCAGTGTAGCTCTGACTGTCCCGGAACTCATTTTGTAGACCAAGCCTCAAACTCGGCAGGGATCACCTGCTTTTGCCTCCCAAGTGCAGGAATTAAAGGCATGCGCCACACCACTGCCTGGTGCTAGGTACAGATTTTTTTTAAGATTTGAGAAAAAAAGTAGTTAAATGTGTGAAGCTTTTTTAAAACATTAGACAAAACCCAGAAGCCATACATGGACAAGAATCTCAAAGTAGTGAATAGCATGACGTACCTCACGACCAGAGAGAGATTAGGAAAGCACTGGACACAGAGTGGCGACTTTCATGGTCAGAGCTTATCCAGGACTTTGATAAGGAAGCAGCAGGCAAACAGGCCTCGAAACAACATGATCTGTAGGAAAGAAAGTTACAGGTGCCCTCTTGCTGTGGGAGAACAAGTACAGAATGCCAACTAAGAGTAACTTGATACTGGTTTTAACCAGTTAGTGATAACAGTCTGTGTTGGCTAGGAGAAGAAGTTGGCACTGTTTTACTCTGGTTGCTAAGAGTGTAAATGGGCACAGTGTCTGCAGAGCTTTCTAATGTCTTCCCAAATAAGAGTGTGGGCCCTTTGCCCTGCCGCTTTGACTGCTGGAAATGGTTTCTGTAAGGAAGCCCCTGGAAATACCTGCAGGGATGCTCACTGAACACTGTTTTCAGTAGTGTGGGACCTTAGCAACCACAGTGCACACTGGCAGGGTGTTGGTGGAGTCATTTGTGCAGCCCTGCAGTAGGACTTGCAGCACTTGAATGACAGCAGTGTCATCGATCTTGACCTGTTAGGTACTCGGGTGAAAAGAGAGGAGCTCGAGGCCGGCACACGCACTGAAGTGCATGTTGCTGTTGTGCGCACATTAGGGATCTCTAAAGAGAGGGCAGTTTGCTCCAGTTATCACTGAAAGAACTGGGACTGGGATGGATGGGAAACGTTTTGGAGGAGAGATTCATTGTAAATAGTACAGTTTCAGAATTTTGCATGACATAAATATATTTTCTATTAAAAATAATAGAATTTTTAGTGAGACTAATGTAAAATTTTTTTATAGTGCTAGGTACTTTAGTCAAGACCTCACAAAGGCTAGGCAAGTACTCTGCCAGCAAACCAAGACTGAACATTTTAAAGCTTAAAAGTATCTATTGTTTTAAGTAAGAAGCCCCAGCTTTAAAATTATCTATTGTTTTAAGTAAGAAGCCCCAGCTTTTTTGAGGGTTGACTGACTTCTTGGTTGGTTTAGTTGACTTTTTTTTTTTTTTTTTTGGTTTTTCGAGACAGGGTTTCTCTGTATTGTTTTTGGAGCCTGTCCTGGAACTCGCTTGGTAGACCAGGCTTAGTCTCGAACTCACAGAGATCCGCCTGCCTCTGCCTCCCGAGTGCTGGGATTAAAGGCGTGTGCCACCAACACCCGGCGGTTTAGTTGACTCTTATAATGGTCTTTTTGTCCCACTTTCGGCTCATCTGTCCCTAGATTGATTGATTAATATGCTTTTGCTTCCCTTTAAAGCTTATGTGTACAGTTGATGACCTGAAGGAGATGGGGATACCCCTTGGGCCCAGGAAGAAGATAGCCAATTTCGTAAAACTTAAAGCAGCCAAACTGGTAAGGTTCATCTCTGCTCTTTTTGTTTGTATTTTTCATCTTTCAATGCAAGGTCTTACACTATAGCCCAGGCCAGCCTAGAAAGAGAACAACTCAAGTCATTTTAGGTAAAGCAAACTGTTTGATTAAGTGTTGAGAAAAGCCATGAGATTATAAGATGTTAAATAAATGAGTCCCTAATTCCAGTTCACAAAGCTGTCTGAGTCTCTCGTCGTCTGTGGACAGATCTCCAGAAGTTCATCTCCACACGTCATCTTATCCAAAAAAGAGAATGATCTGATATTACCCTAATGAGCATGGAGGTCCAGTACACATTGTTTCAGGAATGTGCTGGGTGCTTCTGTATGTAGGCACAGTTGGTTCTCCACTCACACAGCAGTGAGGCCAGGTCCTTGACAAAACAGACAAGGATTGAGGAGGGACATCTTTCAGGCTCTCTGCTTCATGTCCTTATTTTTTTCCTGCAATAAAAGATTAAAAAGTAGAAATGTTCACTGAAAAACTCCTAGAAGGATCCTGTTTTATAGATTGCAATGATTTAGCTATATAAGCTACGGCATTTTAAGCATGCTTGGAAATAAAGATCTATAGTATATTCTCTCTTTTTTTTTTTTTTGAGACAGGATTTCTCTGTATTGTTTTTGAGCCTGTCCTGGTACTCGCTCAGTAGACCAGGCTTGGTGTATATTCTCATTTTTAAAATCAAAATATAATTGCTTTTAGATGAACCAGGAAACTTTGCCAGCCACATTGCATTGATTACTCTCAGGAGGATCTCTGTGAGTTTCAGGCCAGCCAGGTCTGCAAAAGCTACAAAGAGAAACCCTGTCTTGAACAACCAAAAGAAAAAAAAAATACATTTTCCTGGGAGGCTGTAGAGATTGCTCAGCAGCTAAGAGAGCTTGGCTGTTCTTGTAGAAGGAACCAGGTTAGGTTCCCAGCACCCTTATGGTGGCTGCAACTTACTGTCACTGCAGCTTCAAGGGATGCAGTTTTCTTTCAGACCTCCATGGGCATCAACACACATGTGGCATTCACTCACACAGCAATACATGTGCAGATGCATATCAGAACTAATAAAATATTTTTTTTTCTTTTTGAGACAGTTTCTCTGGCTTTCCTAGAACTCACTCTGTAGTCAACCAGGCTGGCTTGAATTCAGAGATCTGACTGCCTCTCTCTCTCCTTAGTGTTAGAATTAAAGGTGTGCACCAATATTTTAAAAAAGTAACTTTTCCCAATAACCCCAGTGTTGTTACTATGCCTGAATTACTAAGAAATCCTTAATTGCATGACAGTATGTCTTGTAATGACAGCTAAGAACTGGCCCCTCCAGATGGTCTTCTACTGTTGTGGTGTTTTCATAGGAACAGAAAAAAGCCTCAGAAAAGAAGGCAGTGATGGCTGCTGTGGCAAAAGGACAAGATGAGAGTGCTCTGAAAACTAAGGAAATGGCTGCTGCTTCTGAATCCAGCGAGTCAAGGAGGAAGCTGTCAGTGGGGGCCTGTGTGTCGTCGGCTCGAGTTGATTATGAGTCTTTTGAAGTTGGCACAGGACAGGTGAGTGTGTGCTGTCGAGCTAATGTTTTAGGGTCCTTCTTTTCTTTCTTGAGATTGGTTTTCTCTGTGTAGTCCTGGCTATCCTGAAACTGTAGATCCGACTGACTCAGATCAACCAGTCTCTCCTTCCTTAGTGCTGAAATTAAAGGTGTGTGCCACTAACCCCAGGTTTTTTTTTTTTTTTTGGCTTTTTGTTTGTTTTTCCAAACAGAGTTTCTCTGCATAGCCCTAGCTGTCCTGGAACTCACTTTGTAGATCAGGCTGGCCTCAAACTCAGAAATCCACTTGCTTCTGCTTCCCGAGTGCTGGGATTAAAGGTGTGCACCACCATTACCCATCTAAGAAGCAATTTTTTAAACATAATTGCTTTTCCTTTTATTCTTTTTCCTTTTTTTGTGTTTTATTTATGTTTCTGATGACTTTACAGAGTAAATGGTAACATGGTATCTATCACATGTTAGCACTTGAGAGGTTAGATATTTTCTCTTTTAAAGCATTTGTGTGTGTGTGTGTGTAGTCTGGAGGACAGCCTTGGCTATGATACTCAGGAACAATGATCGATTCCTTTGAGATAGGACCTCTCCTTGATCTGTCAGTCACTGGTTTGGCTAGACTGGCTGGCCAGTAAGCTCCTGTCTCTGACTCCCAGCACTGGGATTTCAAGCATGCACCACCACATCTGGCATCTTTATGTGGGCTTAGGGATCAAGGTCAGGTTCACATACTTGTAAAGCAAATGTTTTCCCTATTAAGCTATCCCTAAACCTCACTTGTATTTTTTAAGGCATTTTTTTCCTATCATAAGGTACCAGTTTTACCTAATTTCTATTGAATTACACGTTTACTTACACAAACTCTTTAGTCTGTTATGTCTATAATCTCTGTACTTTGAAGCCTATGGCAGGAGATTGTACACTCCAGGCCAGCCTGAGCTACATGGCAATTTAAGGTTAGCTTGAACTATGTAGTGAGACCTTACCTCAAGAAGAGAAATAAAAAAATCTTCCAATATTAAGGCTGTTAATCTCTCATCATGTAAGTTGTAAATGTTTGTTTTACACACTGTGATTTTTCTTTTAACTTTGTTTTTTCTCATTGTGGACCAAAACTTAAATTTTCTTTCTTTCTTTTTGAGGCTGGATTTCTCTGTGTAGTCCTGGCTGTCATGGAACTCACTCTGTAAACCAGACTGGCCTCAAACTCAGAGATCTACCTGCCCGTGTCTCCTATGTGCTGGGATTACAGATGTGTGCCCACTTAAAACTATTGAATTTTCATAGTTGAAGGCAAATGTAAGGATATGAAGTGTAGATTCTTAGGAAGACAGCTTAGTAGTAAATTATAGAAGGGTCATTGGATTTGAAATTGGGCATCTAAATCTGCATCATGTCACTTACTAGCTGCATTATTGGTGAGGGATCACTTCTGGCTTTCACTGTCTTCACCGGTGAAGTGGGCGTGATGGGTCTTGCCTCATCTGGTCTGTTAGTAGACCTCTGTTCTTGGATCATGCCATTGGTTATTCTTTGTTCCCAAAATGGCAAAGACATTTTCTTGCTCCTAAAATAAAATAAAAGGGATGAACTTTGTAAACACAGTATGTTTTTACACAGCTGTCTGTTCTTCCCTTGAGAGACTTCATGCAAACTATCCCATTAAGCTCCTTTGGGCAAATCATTTTTTTTCTAGATGAAGTCTCATGTAGCTTGGCTGATATTTAAATCACTGTGTATGTAAGGATGACCCTGTGCTTTCTTATTCCCCCACCTCCAACTCTCTATGGGAAGATAGAATTAACGTAGACTACTCTAGACTAGAACCCCCTCATTGTGTTGATGAGTGCCTTCTGTGGCCTTATTAAACCTCATTCTTCACTATATTCAGTTTGGTATTGTGAAACCCCATGTTATAACTGAAGCAGAGAGGCAAAACACTTAAGAAACTTAGCTAAGAGTAGAATCAGGCCCAAGCAGGGTAACTATAGGTTCTGCATTTGAACCACATTTATTGTCATATTTCTGTGCTCTATTTATTATATTAAACATTAGAAGTAGAGCAGGGGATGCAGTAGACTCCAAAGATTGTTGAGAAATTCTTATCTTAGCTCACAGCAGCTCTCTCTGAGCTAGTGCAGATCCAAGAATATTTACAAGTTCAAAGCGTTTGCATATATGATTGTGGAAAGATGGTTTTTATTGTTGTTTCTTCTAGGTTTCTGTCACTTACACCTCTTTAGACTTTGAACCAGAGATCTTCTTTGCCTTGGGCTCGCCAGTTGGCATGTTTCTCACTATCCGAGGTGTGGACAGGATTGATGAGAACTACCGTCTCCCTACCTGCAAAGGCTTCTTCAATATCTACCATCCGGTGAGGGCTTGAATTCACTCTGTGCTTTTCATCCAAATAGATTCTCAGGTTCTTATTCCTTGGAAATTAATAGCAGTTGGGCTGGAGAGATGACTCAGAGGTTAAGAGCACTGGCTGCTCTACCAGAGGTTCTGAGTTCAATTCCCAGCACCCACATGTAGCTCACAAACATCTGCAATTCTCTCTGGTGCTCTCTTCTGTCCTGCAGGCAGAACACTGTATATACATAATAAAAAAAATCTTAAAAACAGATAAATCTGAAAACAAAAAGAAATTAATAGCAGTCATGAGTTGCAAAGCTCAGCTGTCCATTCTAAGAGTCTGTTGACACTTTTCAATAAGTATTTTTACCAGAAAGTTTTTACTCAAAGGAAAAAAATGTGTTGATTTGCTTGCTAAGTAATTTCACCTCCAAATTGGAAATGGCATTGCCTGTGGCTGAGTAAGGTGTGGGAAAGAGAGCCTCTGGCTTGCCAGTTAGGTGTTTGCCTTTTCCTAGCCATGGCATGGAAGTCCGCATGCGCATTCACAGGTCTCCACTTTTCCTCCTTGCAGCTTGACCCAGTGGCGTACAGACTAGAGCCTATGGTCGCTCCAGACTTGAAATTGAAAGCTGTTCTCATCCCACATCACAAAGGCAGAAAGAGACTTCACTTAGGTAAGAGGCAGATGCTTTGTCCATTTCCTGCACAGCAGGCAAAGATTAGGAGCTCAGGGTTGTGCCTGGCTACAAAATGAGTCACAAGTAGTCGAGTCACAAGAGACCCTGTCACACAAAACACAATGGAAACACAAAAGGTACACACAGTTGTCCTTTCCTGTAGATATTGTAGTGAATTGTGAAAATTTAAAACAATTTATTATTATGTGTGATGTCTTTGTGTGAGTGTGGACACATGTGTGCCACTGTGCACATGTGGGATCAGAGGACAGCTTTCAGGGACCAATTCTCTCCTCCAGTGTGGGTTCCCATGGAGGTCAGAAGAGGGGCTTGGATCCCCTGAACTGGAGTGCTCTAAATTACTGAGCCACCTCTCCGTCCCTCTTGTAATTAGATTTTGATAGTATGTCATTTTGGAAAGGAAAAGACTATATATGTGTATGTGTGTGTATATATGTATATGTAAAAATGAAATCAAATAAAAATTTAAATCTTTAGAAGTTAAAATTAGAAATTTGTTAGCTTGCAGAGTGATTTAAGGGCTGGAGAGATGGCTCAGAGGTTAAGAACACTGACTACTCACTCAGAGGTTCTGAGTTCAATTCCCAGCAACTACATGGTGGCTCCCAACCATCTGTAATGAGATCTGGTGCCCTCTTCTGGTGTACATGCAGGCAGAGTGATTTAAATGTGATTATTAGACAAACAGGTGGCAAAGAGGTAGAGCTTGTCTTCTAAACTGGAAGTTTACGTTGTGGTCATCTGAGAGAGAGAGAGAGAGAGAGAGAGAGAGGGGGAGGGGGAGGGGAGGGGAGGGGGAGGGGAGGGGGAGGGGAGGGGGAGGGGGAGGGGAGAGGGAGAGGGAGAGGGAGAGGGAGAGGGAGAGGGAGAGGGAGAGGGAGAGGGAGAGGGAGAGGGAGAGAGAGAGAGAGAGAGAGAGAGAGAGAGAGAGAACATGATGTGTATATGTGTTCACGAATGGAATGAAGTCAGAGGACACCTTTGCTTGTCTGTTCTCTCCTTCTACCTTGCTAGAACATGGTCTCTGGTTTTTCTCTGCTGCATGCCAAACTAGTTGGCATACCAGTTTCCAGGGATTCTCTTGTCACCAGCATCCATATCTCTCACATGAGCTCTGGCAGTATTAGATGCATGCTACTCCATATGGCTGTGCAAGGATTCTGGGGTTCAAACTGAGGTCTTCATGCTTGCATGGCAGGCACTACCCCTGGAGCTGTCTCCTCAGTTCCTTTATCCAATTATTTGTTGTTGTTTTTTCAACACAGGGTTTCTCTGTGTTACAGCTCTGGCTGTAACTGGAACTCACTTTGTAGACCAGGCTGACCTTGAACTCAAAGTAATCTCTCTGCCTCTGCCTCCTGAGTGCTAAGATTAAAGATGTGTGCACCACCACTGCCGGACTCCTTCATCTGGATTAAAAAAAAAATTACAGGGCTAGAGTGATGCCTCAGTGGTTAGAAGCACTGGACGCCCTTCTAGATGGCCTAAATTCTATCCCTAGCACCTACACGGTGCACCACAACCTTCTGGAGCCACAGTGTCACGGATCCAGTACCTTCTTTTGGTCTCTGAGGGCACTGCATGCATGTAGTGCAGACATATACACAAAATAAAGCAATCTAAAAATTAACTTCATTTTTAAATTATACTTGTGCATGCATGTGTGTGTGCCTCAGTGTGGGTGTGGAGGTCAGAGGACAGCTTGTAGAATCAATTCTTTCTTTCCCATGTGAGACTCTAGGGTTTCTCAGGTTGTGAGGCTTGCCAGCAAATCCCTTACTTAGTCATTTTACCAGCCTAGAGTCTTACATTTTCAAATTTATCTCATTATTGCACATTAGAAAAACTGACTTTTAAAGTCCTACAGGCTTGTTTTTTTTTGTTTTTTTTTTTTTTTTTTGAGACAGGGTCTCCTGTCCTGGGACTCACTATGTAGAGGAGCACTGGCCTTGAGCTCACAGAGATCAATCTTCCTGCCTCTGCCTTCTTCTGAGTGCTGGGATTTAAAGATATGTGCCCACATGCCCAGCTATTACAGGCCTGTTTTAAAACTTTCCAGTAAAAATGTATAGGATTATGTTTATGTTATGGTGTTTGAACTACTACTTTTTGTTTGTTTTTTTGTTGTTTTTTCTGAGACAGGGTTTCTCTGTGGCTTTGGAGGCTTCAGTGCCAAGACACTGTGTCAAAACAAACCAACAAAAAGCCAGGCATGGAGGCGGAGGCAGATTTCTAGTTCAAGGCCAGCCCTTCATAGTGAGACACTGTTTTCAAAACAAATCAATGCAAGTCAACATTTTACTCTGTTGAGAGTTCTTAGTTCCAAGAGGCTCCCATGAAATTTAGCCTGGAGGAGAGTCCTTACTTGTCTGGGGACATGGTTAACTTTTGATTTCTGTGGCACAGAATTCCAGTGACTAATTAACTTGGTGTGTCTTCTGAATTTGTTTAGAGTTGAAAGAAAGCCTTTCTCGAATGGGATCTGATTTGAAGCAGGGCTTTATCAGCTCTCTGAAAAGTGCTTGGCAGACACTCAACGAATTTGCACGTGCTCACACCTCTTCAACTCAATTACAAGAAGAATTGGAAAAGGTGGTCAATCAATTCAAAGAGGAAGAAGAAAAGCAAGTAGTTGAAGGTAAGTTTGCTATTGGACATGTTTTCCCCTCTTTAACAGATGATGTTAAAGAGCATAATGCTTGTAAATGTGGGAGACAGTTTTCCTTTCTAGACCTCATCGGATTGTATAACTCCTGTAAAGGAGACTATGCCCTGGTAGTCCATGTCATCCTTCATCAACTGCTGACCAAGGGTTTACCTGCTAGTTCTTAGACTTTTCTCTGCAATTTTAAGATTTTATGTAGTGTCATCAGGCCGGCGTGGAATATGAGTTGAGAGCTAAGTTTGTATTCAGACTTTGTGAAGGCTCCACGAGGTTCCTGCCCTTTAGCTCCGGCTGCACTGTGTGTTTAGAGACTTCGTATGCAATGCCAGGTCATCGTGCTCTTTGACTTCCTGACTCTAATTCTGTTTCTTTTTCTTTTCTGCAATGCTCTTTCACTCCTTCACAACTTGTGTCAGCTGTTGACTCTCGCTCCCGTCTCTTGGGGAACCAGCCCCTCTTCCCCTGTTCTCAGGAGGAGGCGGGTGAGCCTGTCATCTCCTCAGTTGCTATGAGCGTCAAGTGATATTCATTCAACCCAGCTAAAGTCAGGGTAATGATTAAGTGATTGACTTTGATATTGAAATGGTTTAAATTCTAGCTGAAAAGATTGAAAGTCCAGAACTTTCCAAGGATGAGGACTACTTAGGAAAGGTTGGAATGTTAAATGGAGGCCGCCGGATTGATTATGTTCTTCAAGAAAAGCCAATAGAGAGTTTTAATGAGTATCTCTTTGCTCTTCAGAGTCACTTATGCTATTGGTAAGTATTTTTCATTTTGATTGTTTTGAATGGCTTCAACTAGCACAGTGATTTCACTGTAGGGTGGGTCTTTTACTAATTACCCAGCTGTTACTGACTTAATAGATTCCCCGTTGAGCTCACACATTCCATCAGGTTTTTGCGGTTGCTTGCTTGGTGGTTTAAATCCAGATGGACACAATGAGGAGAGAGACTTGGACAGCAGTTTACATTTCTGACTTGTTAACAACCTTTCCAAGTCTGCATAGAATTTAGACATCCACAAGGTGGCAGTGTGCCATCTGCCCTTGACCATAGATGATTCATTGGTATTTGGGCAGTGTTTTTATAGGGGGACCTTTAATGACAGGAGTTTAAAGCCTTTAAAAGCATTCTTCCATATGTTCCCATCACCGAGGAGATTCCCAGCATGCCTGTTTTGGAGCTGATTGGAGTCCATACAGTCTTTAAAGATTGCTCTGTGTTCTACACTTTGCAGTCTGTTATCCTCCCATTCAGAGCTGAATAGGATAGAGTATGGGGCACTTACCTCCTTTGTGTAAATGGTAATGTTTACTAACTATTTAAATATTGGTTTTTTTGTTTCTGCTAGGGAATCTGAAGATACCGCCCTCTTGTTACTTAAAGAAATCTATCGAACAATGGACATTAGTCCAGAGCAGCCCCAGCATTGAGCAGACTTGCATTTTACTAGGTGAGTTAATTCTTACTAAATGTGTAAGAGCTGATGCTTGTGTTACTGGAGTTTTGGGGTCCCTTTGTGATAGATGATAGAGGGAAATCAGGTCCTCTTGGAATTCTTAGTCTCATTAATAAGAGAATTTAGGAATGGACTCAAATGGAAGCGCAGGAACCATTTTACTATTGTTGAAAAGGAAAACCAGGCCATGGCAGCTGTAGGAGGAGAATGCAGGAGAGAAGGAAAAAAGAGAAGAGGAGAAGGCCATTTAAGGTGGCACAGTGGTGACTGCGACTCTGACCACAGGAGACAGCTAATGAGAGATGATTGGATTTGGGTCTGTTACAGAGGAAGAGCTGCTACTAAGTTACTGATGAAGTCGTTGTGGATGTATGATGATGCTTTCTTCTGGCAGGGCCCGTTGAGGGAGCAGGTGTTTTGGTGGAGTGGGTAATCATTTGTTTTCTTGAGTCAATAGTTGATCATGTTGGTCTGAAGGCCAAAAGAGCTCTCAGAGCTAAAGATGACTTCAGAGGCGCCAGCATGTATTTGCCATCCAAAGACTCAGTTAGTAGAGGTCACCTTGAAGGACTGTGGGGGAAGAGGAGGAGTCCCTAGAGTAAAAAGACTCCAGGACCTGAGTGAGGAGGATTGCCGCAGAAAGCGGTCACAGGACAAGCAAGAAGCAGCCTTTGGCTTTGGGCAGACTCAGACCATTACTGGTGACCTGGATCAGAGTTGCTTTAATGTCAGGCCAGAGGTCAAAGGTGAGGTGAGGAGAAGGAGTTTTTGTCATGAAGGGTGCTTTGTCATGAAGTAAGGCAGCAGAGGGGGTGGAGGCGGGGAGGGGAGGGGGTGGGATAGGAAGGTGCTAGCTTGCTGGTAGGGATGTTCCAGAATTGAGGAGAATGATCATTTTGGATGAAGTGGGGATACTGGGGTGTGGGCATTTGGAAAGGCAGGGAGCGTGCAGCCAAGTGTGGTCAAGAACTGACCTGTAGGAAAGGAACAAGGCAGTGGTGTGGGTCTAGGTACTGCTGGAGAGGAAGGGAGGTGTTCTCTGACAGGCTTTGCCTTCTCCGAAGTGTGTGGGAAGGTTGTCAACTGAGAGTGAGGCAAGGGGCCTGCTGGGTGAGTTGAAGAGAGAAGAGCAGATGGATACCTCAATGTGGGAGGAAAGAACTCACCAGCCTAGTGGGATTGCATTGGATTGAAGGTTGGAATGCCTGCTGATATTTTGATCATAAATTTCAAGTTAATTACTTTGTTACAGTGACTAGCTTCTCTGGCCATGTTCTGCTGCCTGGGCAAGGGTTAGAGTTGGCAAATACTTGTGTTTACCAGGGATAGGTAAGATAGGAGGGGATGGATACTCACTGTAGTGGGGGCACTGGAGACATATGGAGGGTTGGAGGGCTTTGGGCAGAGCATGGTATGTGTGAATGTGATTGCCAAGACTTGGTTTGCCCTATGACAGGATTCATTGGAGCTGTCATACTTTGTTCAACAAATGCTTCATGTACTTGGAAGCGATTATTTTCAAACTTTTTCTTTAGATTTATTTTGTGTGTGTGTGTGTGTGTGTGTGTGTGTGTGTGTGTGTGTGTGTGTGTGTGTGTGTGTGTGCACGTACCATGTGCATGCAGGAACCAATGGAGGCCAGAAGAGGGTATCAGATCCCGTGGAGCTGGAAGGGTGCTGGGAATAGAACTGCTGGTTTTCTGCAGCAGTAGCAGCAAGTATTTTTAGTGGCTGCTGCGCTCTTTCTCTAGCGCTAGCTTTTCTTTTAAGTTTATATATTTCATGTTGTTTGCTATTTTGTAGCCTGCCCTTTTCTGTGTAAGATACTCTGTTATTTCCCATTGGGATATATATTTATATAGACATATTTGTGGTACCAGAGATTGGTCATAGTGCCTTGCACATGCTGTACCACTGAGCTGTATGCTCAGCCCTGTTTACAGTTTTTGTTTTCTTTATAAAGGGATTATACATATATGTCATTCAGCTTTATTTAGATATGTAAACCTTTTAAATTAACATTTATTTATTTATATTTGGGCGTGTGTGCCATGCATGGTGTGCACCTGCTGGAATAAATACTGTCTTTGCTGAATTGGGTTCCAGAACTCAAACTCAGGTTGTAAGGTTGTGTCATAAGTGCCCTTACACACTCTGAGCCATTTCACTGGCCCTTTTTTGATGGGTTTATTGAATTCATTTCACAGTTTTATTATTTACTAATTTGTCCTCCATTCTTGAATACTAGATAACCCCCTCATTTCACTATTATACATAATTTTGATATGTAACTTTACATGCTTTTAGCCTGTCTGTGACTTGAGATAAACCCGTGAGTGGCATTGTTAGATCTAGAATATTGCATATTTTGAAAGGCTTTCTAATCTATTCTTATTGTTCAGTTGTATCTTAGAGAAGTCCCTCAGTTTTTTTTCCTTAAATTTAGATTTATTTATTATGTATACAGTATTCTGCCTGCCTGCATGCCTACAGGCCAGAAGAGGGCACCAGATCTCATTACAGATGGTTGTGAGCCACCATGAGGTTGCTGGAAATTGATACCAGGACCTCTGGAAGAGCAGTCAGTGCTCTTAACCTCTGAGCCATCTCTCCAGCCCCACCCCTCAGTTTTCACAGCTGCTGTTAATGTATAATTGCCAGTTTTTCTTCTGCCTCGTCAACACTAATTGTTGCTGTTTTTGAATTCTGGCCATTTGAGCACCAGAAATTGCTGAGTCATCATTTTGGTTGTTTTCCCCATAACTAGTGAACTTGAGTTGCTTTGATGTATTTAATCTTCCTGTTACATTTCTTTGCCAAGCTCCTTTTGACCTTTTTGCATTTTCTGGAGGAGTAGGGTAGGGACTCTGTTGGGTGTGTGCATGTGGGTATGCCTGTGTGAGTATTTTTGCTTAATGAAACTGATAGATGATAGTAATGTTTAAGGCAATTCCCCTCCAGTTTATTACTTGTCTTTTTTTTTTTTTTTTTTAGTTTAGATGGGGGTATGTTTTAAAACTACTAACTACGTAGATATTTACTTTTGCTTGCTTTTAGTTCTTCATTTAGCTCTAGAAATGTGTGGTCTGAGAGGGACTTAACTTGTTCCCTGTGCTGTATTTGAATGTTGTATCCTCTTTTTTTTTTTTTTTTTTTTTTTTTTGGTTTTTCAAGACAGGGTTTCTCTGTATTGTTTTGGAGGCTGTCCTGGAACTCACTCTGTAGACCAGGCTGGCCTCGAACTCACAGAGATCCGCCTGCCTCTGCCTCCCGAGTGCTGGGATTAAAGGCATGCGCCACCAACGTCCGGCTGTTGTATCCTCTTTGCTTGATGCCTTTATCATTTGTCTAGTATCTGTTTTCTAGGCATTCTGATCAATTTATTTATCATACTTTGTTCATTCATACTTTAGCATCTTTTTCAAGACAGGGGTTCTTTGTATAGCCTTGGCTGTCCTGGATGATAAAGTTGAGCGTATGGCTGGCTTCACAATAGAAGGAGCAGCTCTTACTGAGAGTCTGTCAAGTTCACTGAGGATTTTACAAGACTCCCTTGTCTTTACAGGAAGTTCCAGCATGAGTGCCGTTGCCTAGAAGCTCTGTGGTGGCCGATCCCCCCTTTGCTCCTATGATGGTGACAGAAAAGTGACCAGCAGCAGTTTCTAACATAGGCTTCTCAGATGTAGGAATTCATTTTAAAAGGCACAGGACAGAAAGACACTGAAAAAAAAAATCAGTACCACATGGATAGTATAGAAGAAAAACTGTGATCATAAAATGATGCTGTGTAAATTCTCAGATCTGTTTAGCTGTGTAGTTATCAAAATTAAGTATGTCCTAATGAAGAGAGATTTGTAGCATGCACACTGTTATTTCTATTTCTTGAAACTATTGTCAATGGAATATTAAACCTAGATTTTTCTTTGTATTAATGCAATATTTTTATTTAAATATGGACTTCTTGAGAAACTATAGTAACATGATTTTTAAGAAACTTATGCTAGTCTCTGGGCATGGTGGCGCATGCCTTTATTCCCAGCACTTGAGAGGCAGAGGCAGATCTCTGTGGTCTACATAGCAAGTCCCAGGACAGCCAGGACTACGTAGAGAGACCCTTCACAACAAGAAAGAAAGAGAAAAGAAAAGAAACTTATGCTGTTCTTTATTGAGCTGCCCTGATGCAGAATTGTTCCTCCTTGTCACAAGGCAGTAGCCAAGGTCTCTTCTGCCCAAACTGACCTGAGTGTGTGTGAAGCTGAACACCACCACTGAAAGCCTAGTTGCTGGAGTGAAGCACTTGTGATGATCTGACCTCTCCTGACCTGTCCATATCCCCTGGGAGATGAGCAAGTGACAGGCCTTCATTGTGACTGAGATATCTGTGCCAGCACTCATGGCTGAGGTTCCAGTTAATTGAGAACCAGAGTGGAAGGTTTTGTTCTTTGGTTTATTTTTACTTGTACCAAAGGGTTTGAACAGTGGATTTACTTCTGGGATGTAGAGCTGCTTGGTGAAGACTGCTCTGTAACATCACTTTGTTTACTATAAACTCTTTACCTAAATATTTCCTTACAGACACTGGGAATGCTGATTTCCTTCTTTTGTTACATAGCAGAAACATTTTATGTCGTTTACATAGTTCTCATGGAACATGGAAGTTTTTGAAAACAACATATAATACACATTTTTGTGTATGTATTCTAATTGGTGTGAATAAAACAGTAACATCGATGCTCTTTTCAAGCTGCAAATTGTTGTTTCTCACCCTTCTTAAAGGGTTCCCTTGTCAACCTGCAGCCTCTGTGTGGTTAATTTATAACTTGATGGGATTAGAATGGGAGGGTCTAGAGCAGTGGTTCTCAACCCCTATGGGGTCCAATGAAGGGATCACATCAGATAATCATATCAGATATTTATGTTACAATACATAACAGTAACAAAATTACAGTTATGAAGTAGCAATGAAAATAATTTCTGGTTGGGGTCACCACAGCATGAGGAGCTGTATTAAAGGGTGGCAGCATTAGGAAGGGTGAGAACCACTGCTCTAGAGCTTGCTTTGACCCCAGGTTTCCGGTCGCTTCATCATCTGTCTGAGGACACACTGTTCCCACTGGGGAGGCACATAGCCAAGTTGGGTTCTCTTGATTCCCTTTGCCCTTCGCTTCCCTCCAAGACAATCACCGTTCACTTAGTTTTCATATGACTTCTAATACTGTCAGAGGAAGGGAAAATAGAGCTTCCTTATGTGTATTTTAATAAACTCTATTTAGCTTTTTCAACTTGTAACAAGTTTGAGTTGTATCATTCTGTTTGTGTCTTGTGAGTCTTGGGAAAAGAAGGGACGTTTGGAGTAACAAGTCCATGCCAGCTGGGTGCCCCTTGTTGCTACTTCTTTTTAATAGTTGGGGAGCACACAGTACAGTGTTCCAGTGAACATCCCCAAAGACGGTTTTCTATCACTGTTACTTCTTTCTTTTTATTTTACCCATCCAAGACATGTAGCCCAGGCTTGGCTTGAACTCGGTGTGTATTTGAGGATGACCTTAAACGTCTGATTCCCCTGCCTCACCCAAATGCTAGGGTTTCCACGCCTGGTTTATACAGCACTGGGCATCAAACCCAGAGCACCAACCGTCTTAGCCAAATCATGCCCCGTCACTGCTTCCTTGGTCTCGGTATTAGTGTCTGACTTACACTGAGCCTCAGGGTCTTGCCATTAAGTTAGGTGCCTATTATACACTTGTTGGTTACGGGAATTTAAAAATCAAAACTGTAAAGTCACAAAGAATTTTCAACAGAACAATCGCAAATGGTGGAAAGACATTTAGGGAAATGGTCAACATCCTTAGTCATCTTGGAAATGCTAATCAAAACACCTCATTTACCATCTTACACCAATCAGAATGACTAAGATCAAAAACACTGATGACAGTTTATGCTGGAGAGGATGTGAAGTAAGGGGAACACTCTTCCATTGCTGGTGGGAGTACAAACTTGTACAGTCACTGTGGAAATCAGTGTGACAATTTCTCAGAAAATTAGGAATCAATGTACCTTAAGACACCACAATACCACTTTTGGGCATATACTCAAAGGAGTCACACTCATACCACAAGGACATTTCCTCAACTATGTTCATAGCAACATTATTTGTAATAGCCAGAGCTTGGAAACAACCTAGATGCCCCTCAACCAAAGAATGGATAAAGAAAATGTGGTATATTTACAACTGGAGTACTACTCAGTAGTAAGAAACAATGACATCTTGAAATTTCAGGCAAATGGACAGAACTAGAAAAAAACATCCTGCGTGAGATAACCCAGACCCAAAAAGACAAATATAGTATGTATTTGCTCATAAGTGGATACCAGGCATAAAGCAAAGGATAACCAGCCTACAATTCACAACCCCAGAGTAGCTAGAACCCTCTTCCAAAAACATGGAAGCAGATGCAGAAATTCACAACTAACCATTGGGACAAGCTCCTATAGTACAATTGAAGTGAAGGAAGAGCAATAATATGAATAAAGGAGTCAAGACCATGATGGGGAAACCCACAGAATCAGCTGGCCCGAGTTAGGGAGAGATCACTGACTCTGATCTGACCACTGCAGAACCTGCATAAGACTGAACTAGACTCCCTGAATACAGGTGATAATGGTGCAGCTGGGACAATATATGAGGCCACTGGCAGTGGCTCCAAAATCTAACTCTAATGTACAAACTGATTTTATAGAGCCTATGTAGAGTAATCCTTGCTCAGCCTAGGGGAGGTGCCCTGGTCCTGCCTCAACAAGATGATGGGACAGACTTAGTATATGTCCTAGGGGCGGACCATGGTTTCTTTGAGGAGCCCAGGGGGTGTAGGAGTGAACCCCACAAAGTTATCCACCCATGAGGGCGACGACAGGTAAATTAGCACAGATAGAGATAAAAGGAAGCGAAAGGAAAAAGGGCCTTTTTTTTGGAAGCTGGCCACGCTTCTGACTCCCAGCTTGTGTGCCTCTCTCTCTGGTAAATAAATATATTGTATTCCCTATTGCATTGGCTATCATCTATAAGGGGGATTGGAATGTTAAAAAAAATGTTGCTGTGGTTTGGGCTGGATAGATGGCTCAGAGGTTAAGAGCACTGGCTGCTCTTTCAGAGGTCCTGAGTTCACTTCCCAGAAACCACATGGTGGCTCACAACCATCTGTAATCAGATCTGGTGCCCTCTTCTGGCATGCAGGAATACATGCAGTCAGAAACTATCTACATAATAATCTTAAAACAAAAACAAAAACAAAAAAAACTGTCAAGTCAAGTGACACTTGAAAGAGACCTTGTAGCATCATCTAAACCAGTGGTTTGCAAACTTAAGGAGGAGTGGCGCCAACCCCTTTCCAAGTGCAGATGGTTCATATGTGTTAAACAAGATGAGAATACTGCTGAGCACTTGGGGCTTCCCTTTACTCCTTGGTTACTCTTGTTTTCCTCGGGTGATGAAAGAAGTCTGGTCATCTCAGATGTGTTTCCTGTGTAGAGTTGTGACAAAAACTTTAAAAAGTAAGCACTTGAAGGTTAAGAGTCATCCTAAAATCATGGGGGGCAACTGCCAATCGTGCGGGCGCGTGCGTGCACACACACACACACACACACACACACACACACACACACTTCTACTATGATAGGCAGTTTTCTAAGCCTGGTGTGTGCTGCTTGAATCCAGTCAGATAGACGTGTTCTCTCAAAGCCAGACTGGTTTTTTAAAAAGGGACCCAAGCAGTGTGTTTCTGCTTATACCTGTAATCGCAGCACTTGGGAGGACTGCCTGAGCTACAGAGTGAGACCCTGCCTCAAAAGACATTTGAGGTAAGTGCTTCCTTAAAGGTAGGGTCCATATAAAGCCTTGAAAAGAGGACAGTAGATAGCAGGTTCCCTTGTGCTGGCACAGATAGTTGTCTGACTGTGTGGGACATGCTGGAGAGCAGGACTGTGGTCTGACTGTGTGGGACATGCTGGAGAGCAGGACTGTGGTCTGACTGTGTGGGACACGCTGGAGAGCAGGACTGTGGTCTGACTGTGTGGGACACGCTGGAGAGCAGGACTGTTGTGTCACTGTGGAACATGCTGGAGAGCAGGACTGTGGTCTGACTGTGTGGGACACGCTGGAGAGCAGGACTGTGGTCTGACTGTGTGGGACATGCTGGAGAGCAGGACTGTTGTGTCACTGTGGGACATGCTGGAGAGCAGGACTGTGGTCTGACTGTGTGGGACACGCTGGAGAGCAGGACTGTGGTCTGACTGTGTGGGACACGCTGGAGAGCAGGACTGTGGTCTGACTGTGTGGGACACGCTGGAGAGCAGGACTGTGGTCTGACTGTGTGGGACATGCTGGAGAGCAGGACTGTTGTGTCACTGTGGAACATGCTGGAGATCAGGCCCAGATGCGTTACTTCTCAGAGCTTCCCAAGCCTGCGTCCAGCCATTTCCCTGGAACCTCTGTCTTTCCTTCCAGAGTAGATTGACTAGTCAGAAGTTGGAAGTTGCTGTATTCTGAAGAGCACTTGTGGTACTTGGGCAGTGTCTGGTGAACAAGGCTGCTGCTGTTTTGTGAGGGTTGCTCCCTGGAGTAGAGATTAGGAGAGCCTCTTGCTTTGGGGTACTTGTGTTTCAGACACTGCCGGCTCAAGTCCTTTATCATGTTTACAGAAGTCCAGTTGGGGGCAGGCAGCATCTTCTAGAGGAGACACAGAGACTATGCTGGCTAGATTTATGTCAGCCTGACACAAACTGTAGTCAGTCATCTGAGAGGAGGGAACCTCAATTAAGAAAGTGGCTCCATAAGGTCAGGCTGTGGGCCAGCCTGTAGAGCATTTTCCTAGTTAGTGATTGATGCGGGAGGCCCAGCCCACTGTGGGTGATGCCATGCCTGGGCTGGTGGTTCTGGGTTCTATGAGAAAGCAGATTGAACAAGCCATGTGCAGCAAGCCAGTTAACAGTACCCTTCCATGATCCTCTCCTGCCTCCAGGTTTCCTGATCAGCTTGGGTTCCTGGCCTGACTTCTCTCAGCAATGTACTTTGCTGAGGAGCAGTAAGCTGAAATAAACCCTTCCTCCACAACTTTCTCAGTGGTCATGGTATTTTCTCACAGACATAGGAATCCCAGCTAAGACAGAGGCCCACAGGAGCGGGCTGTTGTGCCCAGGGCCTCTCTGTGATTACGGGTAGAAGAAAGTGCTTGTGCTTATACCTTAAAATTCTGCGACAAACATGTCTTTCAAGTACTTGAAAATTGCCTGCTTCAGTTTTTGCAAGCACCTAGGCAGTCAGAGCCCATTTCTTTCTTTGTAAGCAAAAACATCTTCAAAGGATAATGTTGGAATAGAAGGTTAGGAGATTTGAATTAAAATATGTCTTTGCCTGAATGCTTTTTTTTCCTTATGGCGATTAAAAGCTTTGTGTTAATGAAGATCCTCCAATACTGTTCTGAACAGAATGCAACTATTTCTACAAATACCCTTTGAACTGTAGAGGAGGAATAAATACAAGATGTTTTATTTGTCCTTAAGGTATAGGAAATATTCACAATAACCAAGATACAGTCAGCCTGAGTGACCATCAATGGATGCATAAGTTTTATATATGTATGTTTATATACACATACATATATAAAATGGAGGGAAATGGAGGGAACTAGAGGTCATTCACTATGCTAAGTGAAATAAACCAGACTTGCACAAATACTGCATGCTGTCTTCTATAGGCAGAATCTATATTTTAAAAAGTAGAAGGGGTTAGGGCTGGTCTTGCAGAGGACCCTAGTTCAGTTCCCAGCTTGTACCCTGGGCAGTTCACAACCACATGTAACTCCTTTTTCCCCACACCTTCAAGTTCAAGTTATGCTGCCCATGTATTCTCAAATGTGTGGCCTTCTCCTGAAGTATGCTAAGCTTACCAAGGGCCATGCTCTTAAAGAAAAAGGATTCTTCTCTTTCCAGCAGTTTTGAATTGCCAAAGTTTTAAATTAAGTAAATAAAAATTAAAAAGAGTATCTCTCTTCTTACAAAAAAAAAACCCAAAACATGCTTATAACCAGATAGTGCAGTATCTGCCTTCAATCCCAGTGCTTGGGAGGCAGAGGCAAGTGGATTCCTGTGACTTCAAGTTCCTTGTCTAAATAGCAAGTTCCAGGCCAGTTAAGGCTACATAGTGAGACCCTGTGTGTCTTAGTTAGGCTTTCTACTGCTGTGAGGAGACACCATGGCCATGGCAATTCTTATAAAAGATAACATTTAATTGG